CCCCCGACATACGAAGCAAAACAGTTTGAAGTAAACTGGATATAAACTCCCCAAACAGGCGAAAACATACCACTGTCTCTGCCACCTCCCTCCATGCCTGGCTCCTCCGGTTTGTATCCCGGTAGGTAAATAGGGACTGGTCATAAAGCACCGGGTGATTCCCTACCGCTAATTTCTCCTCCATGTTTTGGAATATGAGGAAATGACCTGCGGTATGTCTCTCCCAGCATACACGCGGTTTGATTGGCTAGAGCTTGAACGGTCAGATTTGCGTACACAGGATTTGATTGGCTGATGCTTCCACCTCAGCCTCAAAAGTTGAACATTGTTCAACTTTGAATCCTGAAAATCCTGAAAATCTCCGCTCGCCTGCCCACAATGCAGTTCGGTGAAAAGTGAGGGAAAGTGACGTCACCCCATTCAAAGTGAATGGGCAGAAGCGTTTCAAGATTTTTTTAACGCTGCTGTGTGGACGGTCCGTAAGGCTCCTGTCAACGACTTTGGGGATCTTTCAAATAACTTCAAATAACGCCTCATCGTGCCTTAATAGGCGCGTTCACACCGGAGTACTTTTACCCGTACTTTTCCTGTTTAGTTCCGTTAGTGCCTGGAATTTTGCGTTCACACCAAAAAGAGAACTTGGTTCCGAGAACTTTTACCTCCATTTGTAGTGCCTGCTAGAGAGGTGGTACTATCCTGGGGAGAAAAGAGTACCAATTTCGATTGGCTGGGCGAATTGCAAACCACGCCCCGTAAAACTCTGAAAAGTTTTTTGAAGCCGCCATTGTATTTGCTGGCATTAGCATTATTAGCATTAGCATTAGCCCAGCGCACCAACGGAGAGAGAATAACTTCTGGCAACACAAAAAAAAACATGGGAGCGGTGGAGTGATGAGGAGGTGAAGGCGTTCTGGCGATTTACTCGGAAGGCTTCAGTATACCTGCCAACCCTACCGATTTGGGCGGTAGTCTACCGCTTTTGACATGTTTCTACCGCCTACCGACTTAGCTGACTTTCCCTACCGATTTTCAATCTTCCCAAACTATAACAAATAAAAATGACACTACATAGACACCGGACTCGACTTTTGGCGGACACCGTTTGCAGCGTGTCTGTGATCCCATCATACTAACAGTCCTCCTCTGCAGTGCAGAGAAAAGGCCCCAAATGAGTTTAAGGGAACAGAGACGAGGCATTTGAGTCCTGCAGGGTTTCCCCGTTAATATCAGTGTCTCGAAAACACATGTTGGCGACTGAAAGACATCCAGTGTTTGGTCTTTTCCTGAAGCATCCTTCACCTACAGTGTCTCAACTGAAAAAGGACCACAAACACACAAAAAATACAATACCATTTTGAGATTTGGGGATATTTATCTCCCATTCTTTCACTTTTTCTGACATTTTCAACACCAAACATGTCGTTAATGTCTCTGTTTAGTGAACTAGAGCAATCTGAAAGCCTGTACATTATTTATATCACACTTTATCAGTAGAAAAATGCAGGAAATGACTTTTTTAATGCAGTATTTTCTGATTCATGGCGCAACACAAAGATATTTCGCTCTGTGCAAACCTTTGACTCTAATATGTCAACAACATGAAACAAGAATATGAACCTGGCTTTATCCAATGTTCACACAAGAGTTCTACATCCTGACCCATCCTTCATCTACACTGTCTCAACTGAAAGAGGACCAGAAACACATTAAAAATATAATAAAATGTGGAGACTTTGGGATATTGATCTCCCATTCTTTTACTTTTCGGGCATTTCACAGACCAAACATGTCGTTGATGTCACTGTTTACCAAACTACCACTTTTTCTGAAAAATGCATAAAATGATGCAATATATGTTAAATACATGGTTTATACATGTAGTTACTGGGGTTCCATTTCTTCTGATTACCTCATTTGGGTGTGCACATTTGCCGCACGCAAACCTACCTCTTTTGGATTTGGAAAGGTTGGCATGTATGGCCAGTCCCCAACTCCGGGGACTTCCGGCCGGGGACTTCGGGTGGGAGTATACGCCGGGAAGTTGTTTGCGACCTGCCAGTAAACCCAAATCAGAAGAAGAAGAAGTGACGTCAGCGGCTTCATTTGCGTAATCTTCCCTCAGGGAACTTATTCCGGTGTGAACGCGATCTGTACTTAGTTCCATGGGGGTACTAAGTGCCGGTACTAAGTACGGCAAAGTACTTGGTGTGAAAGCGGCTATTGCCTTGAAATGCTTTTATAAACACACTGAAACATGTATATGTCATCTTTATATGAGAGCCAATAAGACACGTTGTTGAAATGCTCCATTTACTCTAATGCATCCTGGAAAAGGTGGTAAATAGGGTAAAAAAACAAAACAAATGTATGTTGTATTTGCACAGGTGTGAAGATTTGTTCGAGAGCCTTTTTTTTTTTAAATACACAAACCTAACATTAATTGGCACGGAGCCTTCTTCTGTTTTGGGAAAAGAAGATGTGTTTTAGTGCCAGCTGCCCAGTGATTAGCCGCTCTCACTTTCTCGTTCTCGCAATGGAAACTATCAAATTAGCAAATTGGCTAGAACTCCAACACATTGTACGTGATAGGCTGAGGGGCGAGACATCTCTAAGCGGTTGACCAATCAGAGCAGACTGGGCTCTGGTTTCACAGGCAGTATCAGAGAAATAAATAGCTTTTTGAACATTAAAGCATGGAAACATGTCCCAGTAGAGACACTAAATACAATTATGAAACTGAAAATGAGCAGAATATGGCCCTTTTAAGATATACAACACAGACGATAGGGAATTCTCCATATTTGAGAGGCTATAAACTGCATTTTCTACAATTTTTATGCCAATTGACTTAACAATGAGTCTACTAATCATTGCAGCTTTAATCAATAAAAGTACTTTTTCTGTAAAAGTTGCAGTGCATTGTATTCCGGGAAAAATATAACTCAATCTCGCAGACCTTTGCAGTAGATGTATGAACTAGTCTGAGTAAATGTGTCTACAGTTGTGGCTGCATTTTAACCCAATGGACACACACAACTATTTCTGTTTCTCACAACATGTCTCTATTTTCAGTGTGTCACGAGGACTGGCGTCAGCGCTGTTTTTGCGTATAAACTTCCCTTATAAAATCAGATTTAGACAACTTTACAGCCTCGGCCTGGCGTAGTAAATACCTCCTCTGCTTTTAGTGCAAATGTCATGACTGCCCCACACAGAAGCTTACAACTCCCTCCATCTATAGCAAACTATAAAAGAAAATGATTAATGCTGAAGCTGTCTGTTTGTTATGGTGCGTGTGTGGCTATGTGATCTGAACGCTTTGTTCACTCTTTGATTATTCCAACCATCTGTCCTCACTTCCCCTCCCGCTCCTCCCCTCACTTTTATTACCAGCCCACTTTCACATATGACCTACACACACACACACACACACACACACACACACACACACACACACACACACACACACACAACACACACACCAACACACACACACACACACACTACCACACACACAACAGACACACGCACACACAGACACACACACACACACACCACACCGACACACACACACACACCACACACACCCCACACACACAGGACACACACACACACACACACAGAGACCACACCACACAGAGACACACCACACACACACAGAGACACCACCACACACACAGACACGCACACACACCACACACACACACCACACCACACCACACAGGACCACACACCACACACCCCACCACCAGAGACACACACACACAGAGGGACACACACACACACACACACAGACACGCACACACACACGCACAGCAGAGTGACCTTTGGTGTTAAGTGATTCATCCTCATTGTTTTTCCTCTTCCCTTTTCTCTTGTCATCTTCTATGACACCATCCCTCTCTTCTTCAGCTCGTATATAAACCAGCAGTTTTAACAACACTCCTCATTAAACGTTGCTGCATTGAATGCTAATGACATTCAGAATTGATTATGAGAATATTAAGATTATTTATAAGATTATTTAAGACTTTTATAAGAGACTACAAGGCCTAGCTCTTGCCTACATCTTCAAACTACACAACCTGTAAACCAACAAAAGACCACTTACTGACGGTAATCAGACCAACACGTGTTACTATCAAAAATCTTGAATAAATAAGATATTATGTGACTATTATGACGAATTTGTTAAAACGAGAAAGGTATCCTATTGACAACTGTGACCTTTAAAAATGCTAGAAATCTAAAGATGCACAGGAAAAAATGACATGTGTTAATTCTAACTATTGTGAAATATAATTTGAATGTCCATTTCTCTCTAAAAATCAGTGGCAGCAATTATTTTATTGGATGATAATAAGTGTGAATGTTGCAAAAATATGGAAGACAATGTGTGCAATGTCCCTTCACAAGTTTTACATATGTATTCTCTTTCTCTCTGCTTATAGTGCGGTGGTGGAGAAGTATCTGCTGGAGAAGTCTCGCCTGGTGTCCAGAGAGAAGAACGAGAGGTGAGGAGGGAGGGTCATTCAGGGTCTTGACCTCTGACCCCCGCTGACCTTCATGGGGCCCTCTGTACAAAGAGTGGAAGCTTCTTACGGGCGTAAATGAAGTTCAGCATGTGTCTTTGACTTTAAGAGGTTCATCTGCCTAAACACTTACACACACTTTACTAACATATGCAGACACACTGACACTCAACAGTGAGATGTTTTACGGGATTTTAAGGATTGACTATGTACATACAGGGATCCTGCGAAACCTTTAATCCAAATCGACTTAAAATAAGTGCAAAAACCAGAGAGGTTCAAACTCCGAACAACAAGGAAAGTGCAGATATATTCACTTCAAGCTAGTCATAACATTTGTAAGTGCTGGTGAATTAGTCACAAGGCCTAAGCTAACTCTTCAAAGTGCTTTTTTAAATGTTGTATTGCCAATGTACAATCGAAACAGATGTGTTTTCAGTTTGCGATGGAAGATATGCAGAGTTTCTGCTGTTCTGGTGTCAATGGGGAGCTCATTCCACCATTTAGGAACCAGGATAGCAAACAGACGTGTTTCTGAGGGGTACCTGGGTCCCACTCGCAGAGATGGAGTATACCAATATAACCTTAATTGGCACCAATATTTAAAACATCTTAAAAAATCCTACACATGAAAAGTAGGATTTTTTTTTAATATAAAATGTCATTGTGGAATCTCAAACTACCTGTTAACTTTATATCATTTTTAGATAACTTACTAAATGTCTTGTCACATCAGGATGTCGGAAACATTGCGTGTATAATCTGACTTAGTCATAAGTCTTAAATCTAACCTGCCGTAAGCTTCAGGAACTCTCTAAATGTGCATTCATTTAATGTTAAACTGATATTTAGTTTAGTGTTTTGACATTCAGGGACTACAGTTTTTGCTAAGTGCTACAAGACATTAAAAACATGAGAAACAAACACTTAGTATATAAGTGCTTAGTTAGTATATAAGTGCTTTGTTAGTATATAAGTGTTTTGTTAGTATATAAGTGCTTAGTTAGTATATAAGTGCTTTGTTAGTATATAAGTGCTTTGTTAGTATACTGTATAAGTGTTTTGTTAGTATATAAGTGCTTAGTTAGTATATTAGTGCTTTGTTAGTATATAAGTGCTTAGTTAGTATATAAGTGCTTAGTTAGTATATGAGTGCTTAGTTAGGATATAAGTGCTTAGTTAGTATATAAGTGCTTTGTTGGTATATAAGTGCTTTGTTAGTATATAAGTGCTTTGTTAGTATATGAGTGCTTAGTTAGTATATAAGTGCTTTGTTAGTATATAAGTGCTTAGTTAGTATATGAGTGCTTAGTTAGTATATAAGTGCTTAGTTAGTATATAAGTGCTTTGTTAGTATATGAGTGCTTAGTTAGTATATAAGTGCTTTGTTAGTATATAAGTGCTTAGTTAGTATATGAGTGCTTAGTTAGTATATAAGTGCTTAGTTAGTATATAAGTGCTTTGTTAGTATATGAGTGCTTTGTTAGTATATAAGTGTTTTGATAGTAATTGTATTGCTCGAAGTGGAGTCGAAAGAGATGAGTTTTTAGACTGCGCCGGAAGATGTGTACTTCCGATTGTTACTCACTGTCTGACATTCACTCCACCACAGGTGTGTTGCTACCTGTGTGACTGAAATGCAAACACATATCTGGGCCAAAGGGCCACGATGCGGTATTGATTTAACTGCTCTCGACACAGGAAAGCTTTTTTTAATTCAGATTCATACAGATAAAGAAACACACAATCTCTCATAGGAACCTTACTCTTGTGAAATGTAGTGAAGTACATGTACTTAATAACTGTTCTTAAGTACAATTTTGAGGTGTTGTACTCGTAGTTTAATTGAGTATTTAGAGTTTATGCTACTTTATACTTCCACTCCACTGTATTTTAGAAAGCAATATTGTACTTTTTACTTCACTACATTTATCTGACACCTTTAGGGTGGAGTTACTTTACATATAATTAGCTAATACAAAATAAACATTAACTAATAGATAAACATTGACACATTAGTATAGGTTTCCACCAGCAATATAGAAATAAGTAGAAATTAGCTCCATCTGTAAACGCTTTGACAGACACATTAAAGGTCCCATGTCATGCTTTTCTGGTTATTACCCGTCCCCTTGTGTGTTATGAAGGTTATCCTGCATGTAAACGGTCTGCAGGGTCACTAACCCTCAAAGTACACCCTGTAGCGAGTAAAACTCTAACACAGAAAAGACCTGTCTATGCTGCCCCAGAACGCCTCGTTGGAGATTTCTCTTTTTCCATTGTTTACTTCCTGGGTATAGTGACGTATTTCGGGTATAGTGACGTAACGTAGCGTAACGGCTCCGCAGATTGATCCAAATGGACCAATCTGCGGAGCCGTTACGTTACGTCCGCGGAGCCGTTACGTTTGGACCAATCCGCAGACTTCCTCACACACACACTCGGCGGGACGTTGCGAGGCTAGCTGCGAGGAGCGGGACACTGTGAGCTGGCTCACTGGTGTGGGGTCGGCGAGACAGCGAGACACCGCGGAACTCAGCCTGAGCACACACACAAACTCCCAGCCAGGCTGCGGGTGTGTATGTGTTTCGGGCTGGGTTTCGCTGTGTCTCGCTGTCTCGCAGATGGCCACTGGGCTCACAGGGAGGTGGGGGGGCAGGAGCTCCAACAAGCCGTTTAGGACAGAGAGTGAATACACATACTATACAGAGATGCTGTATGAGAAACCAATGTGAGTTTGGAACATTGCACAATATACATTTATTTTAGTATACCTCAACAATGGAATTATGATCAGTAGAAATGGTCATGACATGGGACCTTTAATGCATCAATAATCATAATCCGGTAGTTAAAAATATGTATAAATCTCAAATGTGCGTCCTCTTATTCATGACACCTTAAGTATATTTATATGCCAATACTTTAGATTTGTTTTAGTGCAGGACGTTTCATTGTAACAGAGTATTATTACTATTTAGTTTGCTTACTTTTACTAAAGGATCACGGTACTTCTTCCACCACTGATGCCCTGTATTCAAGTAGTAAGAGCGTTACTCATTACCGCTTCCTGTCCAGATTAGTTTTGTAATATTTAGTCACCTTCCACCACCTTCCAGTTGCTGTTTATGGTGAACCTCAGTGTCTAGTCGGTGAGTGACTCTCTGTATGATGTAATGTTTCAGTGATAAGTGTGGAAACTCATTACTCCCGTGTGTTAATACAACAAAGCGTAGTCGCCTATATTCCAACCTGCCCGCTGATAGCAGGAGTGGAAAACTGATATCACGGAGCTCCAGACATTGTTTTCTTTCTATTAGTTATTACAACGTGTTGACTCTCGGTTTATCAGCAAAACGTAATCACCCCCTGAGTTGTGGCCATAAACATGGAGCTCATATCCACTGACAAAACAACCAAATGGTGGCGGCATACAGGAAGGATTTCATTCTCTGAAGGGGTGATTCAATGATCTAATATCACATCGACACATATCAATATCTCTTCAGAAATACACCTTTATTTTGATATGGTAAATGGACTGTACTTATATAGGTTTTTATATATATATATAGCGCTTCATCAGTTCTTTGTCGACCCCTCAAAAGCGCTTTACATACTACGATTCATTCACCCATTCATACAGAGGAGTGCCACTTGCTCTTCATTCACACACATTCATACACGTTGGCCATCAGGAGCAATTGAGGGTTAAGTTACTTGCCCAAGAATACATCGACATGTCGACTACGTGGGCTGGGATCGAACCCACAACCTTCTGGTTCAGCCATAGTCGCCCAACTTGTGATAAGAGGTTCAAACTTACTGAAAACATACCGATTGTTTTAAATGATGCACATTGCAAACTGCTGTGACATCCCTACTCTGTCCTTGTTACCAAATGCATCTGGTAGAAAGGTGGAAGATCATGACGTACATTTCACATAAATACTTTAATCCATATCATATCAATATTTTAAAATACATCAACAGATATCTGAAGTATACAAACATGTCTAAGGACGACTAGACGTGTTTTATATATTCTGTTGAATTGTGTGCTTACAATATCCAAAATGTTTTCATACCTAGAGAAATCTAAAACGTTATTCAAACTAACAATCCATTTCTTAAAACGCAGCATGATACTTGCTCACATACTTATCAGAAAAAACTAGAAAAGGATCTGAGATTTAAAGAGAAATGTGTAGAACATTTTATTAAACGGCTGCTGTTTGTGTGATGGCCTTTCAGATGTAAAGCCTTCAGTGCATTTGAACCTTTACACCCCTAAAGATCTTTAATATCATCATGTGTCTTTTTTCCAGGAACTACCACGTGTTTTACTACCTGTTGTTGGGAGCTTCAGAGGAGGAGAGGAAGGAGTTCAAGCTGCTGCCGCCTGAAGAGTACTTCTACCTCAAGCAGGTACACACTTCATCCTCTTTCTCTTCGATATACAAATCTGATTTATGACAGTTATTATTATTATTACCTGTTCATCCGGCTCCACCCCCCCCCATGAATAACCCTCAGTTGGTGTTAATGCTGTAGCCTGTCGTTGCATGTGATTTGACCTTTAAGGTGTGTGTGTGTGTGTGTGTGTGTGTGTGTGTGTGTGTGTGTGTGTGTGTGTGTGTGTGTGTGTGTGTGTGTGTGTGTGTGTGTGTGTGTGTGTGTGTGTGTGTGTGTGTGTGTGTGTGTGTGTGTGTGTGTGTGTGTGTGTGTGTGTGTGTGTGTGTGTGTGTGTGTGTGTGGTGTGTGTGTGTGTGTGTGTGTGTGTGTGTGTGTGTGTGTGTGTGTGTGTGTGTGTGTGTGTGTGTTGTGTGTGTGTGTGTGTGGTGTGGTGTGTGTGTGTGTGTGTGTGTGTGTGTGTGTGTCCTGTATTCAGCCTGTGATGCTGCTGTATTCTCCCAGCTCTCTGCCGAATGTGCTCTGCATGTTAATGAAGCAGTCTTTGTTCTCCCTCTCTCCTGTGTATCCCCCCCTCTCTCCTGTGTATCCCCCCCCCTCTCTCCTCACCCTTCATCTTCATCATGCTGTTTCGTCACCTGTTTGTTTGTCCAGTTCTGCTGTTTTCTTCATTTTCCATTGAAATGCACTGATTTGTTTCTGGTACGGAATATAAATCCTCCACACTAGGCTCTCCAATTAAAATCAAAAAGTCAATACATCAAAGAAAGCCACTATATATATGTATATACAAAAATAACAGTATTCTCTCAATTAATCAGAGGTCAGTTTGACAATTATAAAAATATCCTTTGTTGACCAAAATTAATCAAATCTATATATATTTTTTTAAATAGACCAAAGGAGAACCGCTTTCATAGTTTCTGCTTATAATAATAATAATAATAATAATAATAATAATAATAATAATAATAATAATAATAATAATAATAATAATAATAATAATAATAACAATAATACTTTAAACTATATATCATATTAATAAAATAATAAATATAATATTATATAATTATTTGTTTATACACTTATACAAAAAGATACCAACAAGATGCGATACAAATCACAAAACGGTTCCCCAGGTCTCCTCGTTAATCGTACCTATCGCTTGGCTATATTTTATGAAATCTAACAAATAAAACGCTTTAAAAAATCTTAAAATACAGTACATTACCCTCCCTAGCTTAAATATGGAGGACCCTCAATGCGAAAATGCAAAAAGACGTAGAAGTGGTCAGGGACGAGGTTCAGCTGTTAGGTAGCTCAACTCTAATCCATTTCAAGTTTTTCCATACATAACATTTACACCAGAATGAAACAAGATGGAAGCTAGAAAAGCATTTAAATAATGATGGAAGTATTTCCTTGGTTTATTAAAGATATCACTTTCCTCTTGCAGTTGCTACAGCTTTCATTCTCCACCTGAATAATGAACTAACATTTGATTCATTTTGTCTTTGTCTTGCAGCAAAACTTTAAGATCGAAGATGAGGAGGACCTTCGGCACGACTTTGAGCGTCTGCAGCAGGCGATGGAGATGGTGGGCTTCCTCCCCGCCACCAAGAAGCAGTGAGTGAACCAGAGACATGATCCCTATCAGACACTTAGGTTGCGTTCGAATAGTCCATTTAGCTTAGGAGCCTTCCTAACGGAGTGAAATTACCTGGAAGTCCCTCAGTGGCAGCCATGATAAGAGCCGTTCGAATTCTCTCTAGATGATAGGAAAGGAGCTTTGAAACTTCCTTTATAACCTCCTTTAGTTTAGGAAACACTGGACCTTCCTTTAGGAAAGGAAAGGAGATAATGCTGTCCCACAATGCCTTGCGGCCGCAACATTTACCGTCAGAACATTCGGCCGTTCACGGAAACAACCAATTATGACCGAGAATTGCATATCATGAAAGTTACGCTGCTTATTAAGCATTTTACAACATATGTGGTAGCTTGTTTTGAACGTGCATCACTATAATAATCAAAAGGAGAAATATGAACGTTACTTTTATACTGAAATGATCAAATAAAGTCTCACAGTGTTTACTGAGCTGTGTGGGTTTCCTTAAACTTTGAAAACATGTTTGAATGGTGATAGGTTAAGGCCTAACACGTTTATAATAAATTCATTTCTATTTATTTTTAAATAAATATGTATCGGGATTCATGTGGACCATAATCATAAAGCATAAAACAACACCATAAGAGCACAGTAGTCACAGTAAAGTAGTCCACCGTTCTTATTATACATCCATGTAGTTTGCTGTATAGAAAACTGTAGTTTCCCCGCAGCAGCAGACGCACATTTATGACGTCCGCTGGCGCATCATTAATACGTCGATAGTGTAAGTGCAGTCGGATTCTCAAAGCACCGCAGTCTCTTTTCTTAAAGGTAGGGTAGGTAAGAATGGAGAAACCAGCTCGAGTGCGCTAGAATTTGAAAATACACAACCGGAAAAAATTACACATTGTTTTTCAAGACAAAGTAATTGTACATTTTAAGTTTGTCTATCGGAAAGGCTTTTTTTTTTTTTTACACAAAGATAACAATAAAAACAGTAAAAAGTACGAACAATAGGAACATTAGGGAGTGATCAGGACTTCACAGTAAAATCATACATTTGTAAAAATAAAATCTGGCCTATGGTTTTACGAAATCAGTCCACTTTCTCCATCGTGACACAAATAGTTCCAGTTTGTGATTGACAGATGATGTTATCCTCTCCATTTTGTAAATGTCCATTGTAATATCCATCCATGCGTTTAAAGTTGGGCTATCTGGTGATAACCACTTCTTTGTAAGAGCTTTTTTACTCGCCACCAGCAACAGATTTAATACATATTTGTCTTTTTTAGTCCATTCTTGAGGTGTGAGTCCAAAGAACAAAGTCTTACTCTCCATGGGCACATGACATTTGAAAATATCTTGTAAGGCTTTATGTATCTCTCTCCAAAAGACCTTAACAGGGCAGTCCCAGAAAACGTGATAATGATTTGCATTTGAATTTCCACATTTTCTCCAGCAGTCTGGGGAGTCACCACCACAGTGAGACTTCTGAGAGTTATAAAATATCTTATCAGGCTTTTCCAACCAAACTCCCTCCAGTTATGTGAACTGGTACATTTCCACTGATATGTCCATATTGTTGTCCATTCCTCCTCAGATATGATAACCCCGCCTCCTTCCTTCTCCCACTTGGATGAAGTCCTTTTGAATTCTCTTATCCACTATCCCTTAACCCCGTGACGTTTCACACAGAGGTCGAGGAATAGTGGATAGGAGAAGACGATAGGAGCTGATTTTTGGACAATTCGACTGCAACCATGATGTTCCTCCAGACATGTGGAAGTATCCCCCCCCCCCCCCCCCCCCCCTCCCTCTCTGTTCCAGAAACAGAGACGTTATTTTGGTCTGCGCTTTGAGGTCACATTACCAAGAGAGAACAAAGAGGCCGTTTAGCACTACAATAGCTGCATCTAGTGGACTAATGCAGCGGTTTATTAGAAGCACTGTGCAGCTGCAGCTCCATACAATGCCTCTATTCAGTCTAATAGTTATGGAAGATAAACAGATGATTGGACAGCAGCGTGTGCCGCTCTCTTCCTGTCACTGTTACTCATTCTCTGTGACTGTGTTGCAGGATCTTCTCCGTGCTTTCTGCCATCTTGTATCTGGGCAACGTGACCTACAGGAGGAAGTCGACGGGGAGAGATGAGGGTCTGGACGTGGGACCCCCGGAGGTCCTGGCCACGCTCTCTGACCTGCTGAAGGTAACTCACTGGGTGCAGGGTTGGGGAGGAAGTGATCATAGAATCCTTTGTAGCACAGCAGGGGACAAGTGGCAAGCACATGTAAATCAAATAATCTGTGATAAAACAAAAAAGGAATATATTAAAGTATTACAGTAGCACCAAGTGATAACAACAGTTTCACAACAGTTTATATGTAATTAATAGCTCTGTCAGTCGATTAAAATATGTAATCGCAAATTAATCGCACATTTTGTATCTGTTCTAAATGTACCTTAGAGGAATATTTTTCAAGTTTTTAATACTCCTATCAACATATGAGTGGACAAATATGCTTTATGCAAATGTTTGTTTATTATCATTGGAACAATGACAAATATTCTCCTGAATATTTTCAACACAACAACCTGGAACCTCTCTCTCTCTCTCTCTCTCTCTCTCTCTCTCTCTCTCTCTCTCTCTCTCTCTCTCTCTCTCCACTCTCTCCCAACCCTGTGTACTTCTCTGCACTGAGCCAGTTGCTCAAACAGACAAGCCTGTTTACAGTGGTCGGCTAAATGCTGCTCCTCTGTCTTCATAACAGTCAAAGCATGAGACTGAAGTTCCCAAAGGGGTCAAAATAATGCGCTGTGATGTGCAGTCGACACGTTGGATGCGATCCGAATGATCTAAGGCAGCCCCTCGTCCTCCACAACGTTAAGCTGTAGCCAACCATTTAGCTACCGCTGTTGTTGTCCAGGCGTCTCCCCGGCAAACTTTAAAGCGCAAGCTGTTTAAAACACCTTGTTTTGTATCCATATCTCTCGCTAGAATCTCCCACCATCCAACTAACAACAACAACAACAACAACGTCAAGCCTTTGGGCTCTGAAACTACGGGGCGGGCCGAGGACAAATACACATGCGTTAATCGCACGTTAAAATAATTAGTGGTGTTAAAAAAAATGTGCGTTATTAACGCGTTAACTTGACAGCCCTAGTGGTTATTGCAAATATGAACAAATGGCGGAGTGATTCATTGTATTCTTTATTTTGTGACACCAATTGATTGATGAATGATTTTTATACGATTTTGCAAGTTGTGCAGGTGAGGTGATCAAAACAACAACCTCGTAAAGAACCACCTCAATAAGCATATAGCAAACATAAAAGCCATGCAATCAAACCAGCAAACATATAGTAAGCAACATATATCGAGCATCCTTCACTGTGACCTTTAACCTGTGTGTTTCTGTCAGGTTGAAGAGGAGCTGCTGGTGGAGGCGCTGACGAAGAGGAAAACAGTGACGGTTAACGACAAGCTGATCCTGCCCTACAGCCACTCTGAGGTCAACTCTGACACATTACTGCAACACTGTCCAACGCCACATTATATGTTGGCTTTGTAGTATTGCAATTTAAACTCAAGTACTCTTCCACCGCAGAAGAATCTTCCCCTTTGATCTGTTATTAATTATTTCCCTCACAATTACCTCCCATCAGGCGATCACAGCCCGAGACTCCATGGCCAAATCTCTGTACAGCGCCCTGTTCGACTGGATGGTCCTGCGCATCAATCACGCTCTGCTCAACAAGAAGGACATGGAGGAATCTGTCCCCGTAAGACACACACACACACACACACACACACACACTCACACTCACACTCACACTCACACTCACACTCACACTCACACACACACACTGCAATTGTGATATGATTAACGATAATATAGGGATTGATCATGTTTGCATCATTATTCTCATCATTGAAAATATGTGTAAAATAATCATGGTGTGTTTTTTTATTTTCAAGCTTGTATTCTTTATCGAGTCTATAGATATTTTCACTTTTGTCTTTGCAATTTGGACATTGGACTAGTCCATTTTGCAATTTTGATATATTGTTTTGTTCAATTGTGCAGCCCTACACACACACACACACACACACACACACACACACACACACACACACACACACACACACACACACACACACACACACACAACAACACGAGATTTCCTCAGCTTACGTACCTTAAAAAACCTAATTTTGATGTGACTGTACATCATTAAAAGCTATAAATATGATTATTTCCTGTATGATAAGTGTTCATTCCCCTTCCTGCTCCTCTCCCCCAGTGTTTGTCCATCGGCGTCCTGGACATCTTTGGCTTCGAGGACTTTGAGACCAACAGCTTCGAGCAGTTCTGCATCAACTATGCCAACGAGCAGCTGCAGTATTACTTCAACCATCACATCTTCAACCTGGAGCAGGTGAGTGCTCTCCTTCCTCTCTCAACACACCCTATAACCCTCAATGGGAGGAACCTCTCCTCTGATTCACTCTTCCGACTCTCCTCCCGCTCTCTCTGTGTATATGAATTGACTGCTTTCGCGGTGACTCACCCAAACATTTCCTCTGAAGGCAGAAAAAAGTCCTGCTTGTTCATGATCTTATCTGCTCTCAACAGGAACTCGACGTTAGATTTATTGTTCAAATATTTACTCATGGAAGTTTGTTCCACATTTCTACACATCAATATGTCCAGGGAAGAGATCATGAGTCAGGATGTGTCAACGTGACTTTATGAGCTCACTAACCAACGTCTTTTTGTCCTGACTCATGCAGGAGGAGTACCAGGCGGAGGGAATCACGTGGCACAACATCGACTACACCGACAACGTGGGCTGCATCCACCTGACCAGCAAGAAGCCCACCGGCCTGCTCTACTTGCTGGACGAGGAGAGCAAGTAAGAAACCAGGCCTTCACACTGCTGCTTTAAGAAAAAGTATCTTATGCTCTACACTTTTGTTTTGTATGAACCAAATCAATGCAAATGAAACAGACAAACCAGTAAAAGAAACAATTCAAGTGTCTGTACAGTATGTAGAAAACAAGGGGGTTGCACAGTTCATCACCATTTCTATCAATATCTCAATATGGACCAGTGCAATATCCAAATTGCCGGAAGAACAATATTTATTAAAGGGTAAATATGCGTTAAAACACATTTTTCTTGCAACCAGTAATATTCTAAACTTGTAGGCTGAACTTCAAACAAAGCCAAGAATCCCACACCCTTTTTCATTCAGCTCAGTTTTTTTTAATATCATCTGTGACTCATCTCCTCTTCCTCTCCTCTTCCCCCAGCTTTCCCCATGCCACAGATGAGACGTTATTGGCCAAATTCAAGCAGCAGCACCAGGGGAACAAATACTTTGTCTCCACCCCGGTCAGGGAGCCCGCTTTCGTCATCCAACACTTTGCTGGGAAAGTCAAATATCAGATCAAGGTAAGGGGATGCAAGAAGGAAGTGGACTCTATCATAAGGATAGTGGTGGTCTAATGGAGAGGGAGGTGGGCTGAATCTTGGAAGGTTGTGAGTTCAAATCCCGCCAGGAACACCACCACTAGTGTGCCCTTGAGTAAGGCACTTAGCCCTTAGTTACTCCAGGGAGAATGTCCCTGTAATTGGTCATTGTAAGTCACTTTGGATAAAAGCTAAATGAAATGAAATGTAATAAGTAGCCGGTTTCAATCTGGAAGGTACAGTTTTTACCGGGTTCAATTCTACCGTTTGACACAGAGACCATTTTTTGTATCTACCAAGGATTTCCGTGAGAAGAACACAGACCACATGCGTCCGGACATCGTGGCGTTGTTGCGCAGCAGCGACCGGGCGTACGTGCGTCAGCTGATCGGGATGGACCCGGTGGCCATGTTCCGATGGGGGATCCTCCGAGCCACCGTCAGAGGCCTCGCTGCTTTCAACGAGGCGGGGCGCAACTGGGCCGCCAAAACGTCAGGTATTTCTACTTGAAATTATTCATTTAAGAAGGGACAATGTTTTTATTTATTTAGTGATATAGGAGACAAGTGCATACAAGTACAGTATCACATGTACACAGAAGACAATAAGGAGCATTTACAAGTAAAGACCAATAACAAATTACATTTACAAATTGTGTGTGTGTGTGTGTGTGTGTGTGTGTGTGTGTGTGTGTGTGTGTGTGTGTGTGTGTGTGTGTGTGTGTGTGTGTGTGTGTGTGTGTGTGTGTGTGTGTGTGTGTGTGTGTGTGTGTGTGTGTGTGTGTGTGTGTGTGTGTGTGGTGTGTGTGTGTTGTGTGTGTGTGTGTGTGTGTGTGTGTGTTGTGTGTGTGTGTGTGTGTGTGTGTGTGTGTGTGTGTGTGTGTGTCTCCATGTCCTTCTTGTTGAGCAGAGCGTGATTGATATTAAATGAAACGGCTGCAATCACATGACTCTGATCACATTAAAACCTACTCGTGATTGTTTTTCTCGTAAATAATAAGTATTAATTATTTTGTTTCAGGTGTTGTCCGTCCAATCTCCAGAACTCCTTTAGGAGAGCTTCAGCGATCCAATGCTCCGGTGGACCGAATGTACAAGTAAGTCATATTTAATACAAATGTGAATGTTTTGTTGGTTTTTCTAAGGCGTCTTTCCTCTGGAGGATCCGTCTGTACCTGTGTACGTGGAGGCAGACTGTTTAATAACCCTTCTTCCATGATTCACACACTGGTTATTGTTGGTATGAATATAATGAAGCCGTATCCTTTCCCTCCTCTTATAAACTACACAGCAGCATATTTCCTGTGCGACGCTCCCTGTTGAAGGTGAAGGAAACTTGAATCACTTTTACCCCGTGGTGCTGGATGAGATGAAGAAGGAAAATATCAGACACATAAACTGTTAACCTGATTTACTTTAAAGGTCCCCTATTATACTGTTTTTCATCAATATATTATAGGTCTCAGATATATACAGAACATGTCTCTGATTGGCTGAAACACCAAACAGATCATTGCAGCATCCCATAATCCCCTCTGTTTCAGCCCTGTTTCAAAAGTGCTGATTCTCTGTCTGTTACTTTAGATGAAAATAAGGAGCCCCTCCCCACGCCCCTCTGAGAGAGATTTGGTTAAAAAGAACTCAATGGTGCTCTAGGAGGAGATTCAGGTGATAAGGGGGGGGGGGGGGTTACCTTGGTTGCTGATTGGCTAATGGTTACACAAGCCCAAAAATCGTTATGACATCATAAAGTGACCAAAATCTGATCAGCTCATTTTCAGACAGGTTTTTATAGAAATGGATCAGGACAAAAAGAGAGAGAATCTTTGTTCCTGAAACTTTCAGAGTCTCTTTACACAGAGGGGACACATGGTGATGTAGAAAAGACATGAAGAAGAGGGGACACATGTTGATGTAGAAGAGACATGAAGAAGAGGGGACACATGTTGATGTAGAAGAGACATGAAGAAGAGGGGACACATGTTGATGTAGAAGAGACATGAAGAAGAGGGGACACATGTTGATGTAGAAAAGACATGAAGAAGAGGGGACACATGTTGATGTAGAAGAGACATGAAGAAGAGGGGACACATGTTGATGTAGAAAAGACATGAAGAAGAGGGGACACATGTTGATGTAGAAGAGACATGAAGAAGAGGGGACACATGTTGATGTAGAAAAGACATGAAGAAGAGGGGACACATGTTGATGTAGAAGAGACATGAAGAAGAGGGGACACATGTTGATGTAGAAAAGACATGAAGAAGAGGGGACACATGTTGATGTAGAAGAGACATGAAGAAGAGGGGACACATGTTGATGTAGAAGAGACATGAAGAAGAGGATTTTGCATAATAGGTGACCTTTAATGGACATAATCACAGCTTTTACGCCACCTTGACCAATGATCCTCCTTCAGCTCATCTCCTTTCCTCTCCTGGTGACCCCCCCCCCCCCCCCCCCCCCCCCCCCCCCTGTGTGCGGTTCTCTCCCCTCCACAGACGAGCCTCTATGCTCGATTTCTGCTTTGATCACTCAGAGGAGCGCCCTCTAGAAGCCTTTGAAGACATCTTTGCTAGCTATGAGAGTAAGAAGTAAGTGCATCTGGTGGACAGGAGGAAGGCATGAGGACATGGAAAGGAAATGGGTTTTATTTCTGGAAACAGACACCGGTTTGTTCTATTTTCTGAGTTTGCTCCCATCTAAAAAAACATTGGAATATCCTTTTAAATATATGTTTTAAAACCTCTGAACCACAAGCAGTTGCAGGACATCCTCTCACATTTCACTCACTGTGGCTTTGCTTTCAGTCCCTCGTTGGAAAAAGCTAAATTATGGCAAGAAGAAAGGAGAACTCAAAATGTCCTAGGTGCAGCTTTAATAATGCACTCCAAAAATTGGAATGAAATCGAATTATTTCTAGATCCATCCGGCTCTATATTGTAAACACACCAAGCTATTTAGATGATTACAGTTTCAACCTCTCTTTTTCCTTCCTATTATAAGTAAACATCCTGTATTTTTGTAATGTTTTTGTCGTCTGACTGTTGGTTTCAGTTATGGGTTTCATGGCTTTCCAACTGCTCTGAAAAGGCCAGAATGTAATGTGTTCATTACACGATCTAGTCCACACGTGTCAAACTCAAGGCCCGGGGGCCAAATCAGGCCCTCGGTGGATTTAATTTCAGCCCGCAGGATAATGTTTAATTACTATTAGATCTGGCCCGCCGGTATATTGCACGCACACCTTCACTCAATCCTGAGGGTCTCCTCCCCTCAGAGCCTGACCCCAAACATTGATGAACGTGCACCCAAGATGAGATGCCAAGTATCTGGCTTGAACTAGCATCACAGAGCAGCAACCTGAGTTTACATGGATGTTTCCTTCTGCACTTTTTCTCTCACGACAACAGGGCATGTTTGGTTTTCTCTTTGAGGGAAATAGTTTTTTTGAAGCTGTTGTTGGCCTGTGGAAAAATGTAATCATAAGAAATGACTCTGGAAAAGCTGCAGATAGAGCCATAAGAAATTAATGCAACTGATTATTTAATGTTTAATGTTGTTTTTATAGGCAATAATTTAAGCTTTGTTAGTTCCAGGTTTAATATGTGCAATAAGTTCAGTTCAATAAGTTTTGCAATAAACATTGAACCAGTCCGGCCCTCAACTAGTACCTATTTATTTATTTTTGCCCGCTGTGTATTTGAGTTTGACACCCCTGGTCTAGGGAGTGCAGATGTGATAATTGTGTCAAAATGTTCAAAGAGACACGTAGAATAAATAGATTTTATTGAAATATTTTAGCTTAGATTTGTCACATTTCCTGACAGAAGTGCCCGTAACACATGATTCATTCAAACAGCATCTAAAAGTTAAACAATAATGTCAATTTTTACCGATTCTGGCTTAGATAAATGGCTTATTTTGTGGATTTTTTTTTAAATAAATTGGCTTTTTAAACCCTCTGGTGGGTTTGTTTAATGAATATGAATATATCTTTATTTGTCATCATACAAAGTACAACGACATTTCCTTGGCAACTCTCACTGCAGTAAAAAAATAGACACAATAAATAAATAAGAGTGGTAAAAGCTACACTTACAGTCTAAATATATATTAGTAAAATAGCCATAAGCATGTCTAAATAGTAGTATTTAAGAGGGTTAATGAATCCAAACCAAACAGGTTTCATCACAGAGGGTCAAGTTTGTTAAATATTGCGAAGTCTGCTTCTATAATAATGAAAGTAGAGGAGGAAGTTCAGTACACCAGTATAACACAGTGCAGAGAAGTCGCCCTTTACCTTCCCTCTCGGTCTCCTGTAGCCTTGATATCCGCTCTCCGTCCTCACGTTTATTATTCCTGCTCCACAGAACAGGAAGGTGTTGTTCCTGGCCTTCTCTGATTAGCCACCCCGATTACTTACATCAACTGTGGAGCTCACACACACACACACACACACACACACACACACACACACACACACACACACACACACAGGCCTCAAGTTAAACGGACAAAAGGAATTAGGGGAGCTTTCTCAGAATGGAACCAAACCAGGGAGAATATTTTTTTGATTTTTCAGCCCTCTGGATCTTGATCGTACACCTCCTGGTTTCAGATTAGAATAAATGAGATCTGATTAGATGTAGTCTTTGACCACAAAATGTGACAACAGCAGGTTAAAACAATATACATGATACACATGAGTTAGAAATGACATATATCAGATTACATTAGATTGGATTGGCTAAACTTTGTAGATCCCAAATTTGTATTTATTTTGAAACAAACAGTAAATAAACACCTATTAACCCTAACCCACTTTATTAGACTTTCCTACTACCACTAAATCAACTATAAACATAGGATAATTACATATACATTTCAACAGTATAACAGTTTATTTCCTTATAGTATCTATAGAATAAGCAATATAAATAATACAAAATAAGTCAGTGTGAACTAAAATAGACTAAATAAAGATTTTCAATTAAACAGTTCTGAAATTACAGGTCATTTTTTTAAAGAACAGCACCTGAATGAAGTAGAATATTTCTGCACATTAATAAAGTATAAGAATATAATAGTAGTTATAATAGACCAACCAGATTTGAAACACGAGGTGTAGAGGTCAGATTCACTGGGATTCATTTTCTGTGTGTGACCCATCGTTCACTTTCTGTGTCATGCTCAGTCATGGTGGTAAGTAGAGAAGTGTTGCATGGATCAGCTTTCAGACTCTCACCAGACCATTCTCTTGTGTAACACCAGCTCCAATTGAGGACTGAAAATCCAAAAACCTCACCAGTAACTACTCACCGTCACTCAGAGAGTAACCCCCCCCCCCCCCCCCCCCCCCCCCCCCCCCCCATCACCCCCCAGCATGGAAAACGATGCATGTTAACTACCACAGAGGCAGGGAGATAGGGGGTACATGCTCCAATCCAGGGCTGTACTGAATATCTTTATTTAAAAAAATTGAAGATTTTTTTTTTCTTAATTGTCAAATGAAGCCTGGAAAGTGTTATCTGTATATATTTATGGTGACATCAACCTGGTAAAAATATATACATGTATATTTAGTATTACGGCCCGTCACTTTGAATGGGGTGACGTCACGCTTTGCCGAACTGCATTGTGGTTCCGTCACGGCGCTTTGCCTCCGTTGCTCGCTTCAAAAGTTGAGAAAAGTTCAACTTTTCAAGCTTCGACGGAAGCGTCAGCCAATCAAATCATATGCCAGTACAAGCTCTAGCCAATCAAACCGCGTGCTTGTGTGTCCGGGGCGGGAGATTAATGTGATCGGTTGTTGGTCGAGCTTCAGACACGCCCACCGGCAAGCTGTGTGGACGCTCCGTTACATATTGTCGTGTTATGGTTATATGAATTGAATGTATGATGCTGTTAGATGGCTGCTTTATTGCCCCGTTGCACAGATGCAAAACAGATTCACTACACTATTATCATAGTGTCCTTCAAAATGTCAAAAGGCATTGAATTAATTAAGCTAAAAAAAGCCTTTAATTGGTAATAGATGTCTTAAAACTATTTTTGAAAAGTCTAAAAAATTCGAAAATATCTCAAGTATTGCTTTATAAGTCAATGTGAAGATAATTGGTTACATATTTAAAAAACAAAAATACCAAATGCCTCTCACATTATCAGATCCGGATGGAGGACATTTCGATTGTACTTCTGTTTTGAAGTATTCGGTACAGCCCTTATCTTTGTTCAGTCTTATAAATGATATGGCAGCATGGTTGGGTGGTGGAGTGTGTCTTCTTGTTGTACATAAACATGAACTATGGGAGAAAACACTCTGTGGTTCATTCTTCACGGATGAGCAGAGCATGATGTTCCTCCTAAGACCCAGCTTCCTGCAGTGTGTGTTCTGTGTTTGGTATCTGTGGTGGTGTGTTTTCTCCTAAGGTGTCCTAACCGTGGTGTTCAATCTGCTCCAATGTCCTTCCTCTTTTTGTCGGTCCCTCCCTCTCCTCGCTGGGTGTGTGTGTGTGATCAGAGACATGCATGCAGAGATCATCAGCTCCATTAAGAGCTTGCAGCTGGATGGAGACGACCCTCGTAAGCTGCTGCAGTCCTGGGGTCGGCTCCGCTTCCCCCGACACCTCCTCCAGTGAGTCTGCAGACAGACCTGGCCTCAGCTACGCTCCAGAATTCCCCCCAAAAATACATGGGGAATGTTCACCGCTTATTTTCACTCACTAACCAGCCATAACTAGTCTTAGCTGTCACATGTTCAGCCACCTTTCTCAATGGATCATCAACTAAAGATGTCCCAACACCAGTTTTTCTTTACCGATATCTGAACTTGGGTTTCATCTAATACCGAGTACAGATGTTATACTTCAAAACAAAAGTATGAATATATATAATGCTGCACAACTAACTTAAATGTATGGATTCAGCAATATGGACTGGTGCAATATCCATATAGCGTTATTAGAAAAGGCTAAATATGGCGAAATATCTGAAACCTTTTTGGTGCTGCAGATATGTTCCGGTCTATAAATCGTAGTTTGCAAAGTTAAAAAAGCATAATCTATTTGGTAGAGATCCTCAAAAGAAATCACACCACGATCATTTTCAAATATTTCATATATATTGTGAATAATGTTTCAAAAATGATAATTCGCTGCAAATTAAGAACCATATTGTAGTTAAAATAGAAGTCAAAATATTATCTATTACTTATTGTTCCAAATCGTACAGCCCTTAAAATACCTATTATTGTTGTATATAAGTATATGTATATTAGATCATTTTAAACACATGAATACTTACAGAAAATGATGGCCAAAGCACTTTCTTTCAATATGTAGTCAGTTATAACAAAAAATAGGGCAACGTAACAGAGATGAAAGGAAGCGAGATGGCTCACATGTTAGCTATGAACGGTATCACTTCTGGATTGGTTGCGGATCACGTAGCAAGTGACTCATATTGTTGTTGTTCTGCAGCGTAAACAAACTGATAAACGATATGATAACGTGATATCAGATCAGTTCATAGCCTCCATTTTTTGGCAATACCAAATTAAGCACTTTAGGCTGTTTGGGAGACATTCCCCATTCTCGTATCTTTATCTAAACAACTCTTATCATTAGCGTCTCATGAGCTTTTATCCAATAAAAACATTGAACGCTCTCCTGCTTCATCTGCAGACGTTACATTATTGGCGTTGTTTGGAGACACTGTCGAGTTTATTTGAAGGATGGAGCTGAAATGTCTTAAATACGTTCATTTCTGCTGCATGAGCATCATCAGAAAACTGCTGCTGGCATGTGAAGTCTTTACGAGCGCCTTTTCAAATATTTCCAAACGGCCTCTCGGCATGTTAGAATTTCTGACACGTGGAAACAGATTAAAGCAGGATATGAATTTAGGGCTCTCTTTATGTAGCGATGCAAGAGAGCATGTCTGTCTGTGAATGGTGAGTCTCTGCTGAGCTGATTTCTTTAGATTTCATCTCATCTCCTGCAGAAAACCCTCCCCTTCATCCTCGTCTTCCTCCCTTTCCATCCTCTCCCTCTGACTCATTCTCTGCCCGTCATTCATCCCGTCCTCCAGGTGCGACCCTGGATTTCATCGCAGCGCATGAAGGAGTCAGCCGTCCGTACTAACCCGGCTTCACACGCTCCATCTACTACTTCTCCATCATCGCTCCTCAGGCCTCAAACGCTTCAGTCCCTGTAACTCACCCTCTGCTGTCTCTCTCCCACAGGAAAAACAAGAACGCCAAACAGAGGCAGGTCATCCCCAAGGTAAACACCAGTAGAGAGGGGAGAGCCTTTGTTCAGGGGCAGATAAATACTATGTTTTATAACACGTTTTGAAAGGATTTCACTTGTTTGCTGTCCTATTAAAATCGTATTTATTTCTGCAACAATGAGTCCATCAACAGGAAGACAAGCGGCAACTATTACAATTGTTTATTTGTAACTTAAAGGGGACCTATCATGCAAAATGCACTTTTGCACGTCTTTTATACATGAATATGTGTCCCCGGTGTTCCAGGGAACTCACCAAGTGTCAGAAAACACAACCCTCTCTATTTTCCTCCATACCCAAATCTCTAAAAAAGGGGCTGCAACGGATCTGATAAAAACTGATCCAGATTTGAACACTGTCCTGACGTCAGGACGGTGGCGCTACGGCTATTGGGCCAACTCCACCAATCAGGAGGAGACAGCCACGGCCATTACCGTTCGAAAGTGCTGGAGACGCTGTAGTACATATGCCAGGCCTGTAGATGGTGCTGTTCTCACTGAATCTGCCCTTGCAAAAACAGAGCTAAATAAGTGCAAATTGAGCGAAATGAGGCATGGCTAAAATGCATGATCTGTTTGGTATTTTGAAAAAAAATATATATAAATATGCCTTATAGGTATGGCCCTACAATATATTATTAAAATATAGCATGATAGGTCCACTTTAAGTAATTTTTCACGCAAAAATGTAATGAAATGCTGTTCTCAGCATCTCAAATATACAGATTTCCTGCTTTTTGCTGTTTTGATATCATATTAAAGAGAATATTGTTGGGTTTTGGACTGAAACATGACATTTAAAGACATCACTTTGGATTGGATGGACATTTTTAGCTATTTTTAAATTACATCTTATAGAAAATATCACCAGATGAATCGATGGAGAAAGTAATTTTTGGTTGCAGCCCTGATCATGATTATAGAATGCAAGTTGATGATTTTCATGACAGAACAAACAAGAATTTGAGAAAACAAGTGTCATATTTTATGGAGTATAAATGAATAATGATTTCCTGTATTCCTGCTGTTCAGAGTTTGCTGGACTCTCGGTCTCTGAAGTTCATCGTGAGCCTGACGCTGCACGACCGCACCACCAAGTCTCTGCTGCACGTTCACAAGAAGAAGAAACCCCCCAGCATCAGCGCTCAGTTCCAGGTAACATCACCTACAGCAGTGTGCATATAACACACACACACACACATACTCACACACACACACACACACACAACAAATACACATAAAACACACACACAAAACACACACACACAAACCTTGAACCTTCATCCTTCATCAAACCCCTCTCCTCCTTCTCCTCAGACCTCTCTGACCAAACTGTTGGAGACCCTAAACAGAGCTGAGCCTTTCTTCATCCGCTGCATCCGCTCCAATGCTGAGAAGGTACGGTCTTATTGTTCTTTAATATGATTTGTTTGAATTCTTGGTCTTTGTTTAATGAATACTGACATTTTCTTTCAGCTGAAAGACAGAAAAAGGGGGAATCTTAAGTGTAAATTGATGCAGTGCAATCACCTTTCATATCTGTCAAACAAACCTAGGGGCTCTTTTGCATGATGACATTATTTTAGTAAAATTAATATCAAATCTGAAAATGCTTCAAAAATAAAATGTGCAGCTCAGATCATTTATATAGAACATCTTTGACACAATTCTCATTTATAGTGATGATGATGTTTCTGTAAGTATGTAAATGTTAGTATCTGAAAGGTATGGATGTAAGTTAATAAGCTTGTGGTCGTCCTGAGCAGAAGGAGATGCATCTGGACGAGGCGTTGGTGCTGCAGCAGCTGAGATACACAGGAATGCTGGAAACTGTTCGCATCAGGAGGTCAGGCTACGGAGCCAAGTACACATTCCAGGTACTGTCCACATACTCTCTCAACATACTGATGATAAGGAGGATAGAAACTGATGCAATACTACAACACGTGGAAACTATTTCTGGGGTTGAATACTCAAAGTTTACTTACCATTTTAAACAAATGGCAAATATCATAACATTTCACAATTTGACTGAGGTGACAAGTTCTGTGATATATAATCTGTTCCAAACTGCATATATTATTTTATTACTTTTAGTACATACTCACAATTATCCTTACAAATGACGTGCTGTTGCGATGCAGTATGCATACTAGTTGGACAAACTATTTAGTTCTACGATCCGTTTTGAACTGAGACCCTCATATATCTGATATCTTCATACTGCCGGATAGAGAAGAACATTTTGGTCTTTTTAGGCCTTTGATACACTAAGTACACTGAGATGATACCCCCACAGCTTGGAATAATGTACAGAAGGAGCTGAAACTCTCAGATGTAATCACTATGGGGGAATTCAGGTCCACCCTAAAGGACAGAGAACATGACACCATTGGTAGATGTGAGTGCTCGTATATCCAAAAATCGTTTTAAATGTTGCCAGTTTGTTTTATTTCGCATATTGACTGGCGAATGTGCCATTTTATTTGTGTTTTACAGCTGTATTTGTCTGCCTGTATTGTCTGTGTTTTATCTGTTGTAACTTCGGTCATGCTGCCCTTCTTGGCCAGGTCACTCTTGGAAAAGGTCTTTTACCTGGTTAAATAAAGGATATATATATAAGGGAATTCACTGAACATTTTTCTTACATAGTGAAGCGTTTCCCTATTTTCAGACTTGCTCAGAGTAAGGATTTGAAACTGAAATAATCCTTTTGTCAAGGCGGAGTCATCGTGTTGAAATCCAGTAGTTTTGGTCATCTTTCTAATATTGTGTGGTTTTGTCCATTGGTCTTAACCACAGAAGTCCTTTCATTTCTAATTTGTGTTTTTCTCTTTCTTGTCCCTGCAGGAGTTCATAGAGCAGTTCAGGGTTTTGCTGCCGATGAACACGGCCGCCTCTAAAGAGCACATCTCCGCGCTGCTGGGGGAAAAGATGGGCCTGGACCCCACCACGTACCAGATAGGCAAAACTAAGGTACAACACTGAGTTTATTCCTTTATAACGCCTTCAAAACTCCCTTTATTCCTTGTGTTTGCTGATGTTTTCTTCCCTGCGTGTAAACCCTGGTGTCTTCTCTGTGTCCAGGTGTTTCTAAAGGAGCTGGAGCGCCAGCAGCTGCAGGACACTCTGCACAAAGACGTGATGAGGAAGATCATCTTCCTCCAGCGCTGGTTCAGAGGCCGCCTGCAGAGGAAGGAGTTCCTGGACATGAGACAGGCTGCCATCTTGATTCAGGTAAACACCCACACAACATTTATTGTAAAACACACACACACACACACACACTCACTCACTCACTCACTCACTCACTCACATTCACGCACACACACACAAAACACACACACTCACTCACTCACTCACTCACTCACTCACACACACACACAGAGACACACACACAAAACACACACACACACAAACACATACCACACACACAAAACACACACACATACACACACACAAAACACACACACATACCACACACACAAAACACACACACATACCACACACACAAAACACACACACATACCACACACACAAAACACACACACACACACACACACACACACACACACACACACACACACACAGACACATCATGTATTGTTTCAGTCTGCCGTGTCAGCATTAGGAGAGAACTGAAGTATATTACTAATACTAGCAAGCCACATCTTTTCGGAATATTGGGTTGCAGGTTAGAATTTTCCAAAGGGGGTTCGGTTAGCATGAAACACTTGAAATAACTAAAGGAGAAGTTAAAAAATAAAGTAGAAAGAAAGTTAGGTAAAAGAAAAGTATTTCTGCTAAAAAGTTAACAATGATTGAGTCAGAGCTAAACATTTCAGATGTGTGTGTCTCACACTGCACTGTAACTTTTATCCATGTACCTTTGTTATTCATGTTTTATTATCTTTGCTTTTAAATTAGTGTTTTTAAATGCCATTTTATAATATGTTTCTTAATGTCTTTCATTTTTGTAAAGCACTTTGAATTGCCTTGTGTTGAAAGGTGCTATATGAATAAACTTGCCTTGCCTTACTGACTGTGTCCTGTCTCCTGATAGCGTGCGTGGCGCAGGTTCTGCAGAGAGGAGCAGCGGCGCCGCGCGGCCTCTCTGATCCAGGCCGTGTGGAGAGGACACCGACAGAGAGCGGAGAACGAGCGCCAGAAACAGAGAGTCACCAAAATACAAGCTCTGGTCCGAGGACACTCAGCACGCAGGAGGTAACCGCACAGGGACAAAACCTGAGAGATGTCCCTGAAGACAACATTTAAACACATCGTGTCAATTCTGTCAGCTAGTCTTTTTTTATTCCGTCTTTGTCATTGGCAAACCAAGTGCTCAGCCAAAAGCACAAAGTTCCTGAAATCAGTGGGTCATTTCCTTATCTGCAAAAAGTTAAAAAATCCTGATTCAAGTGAAGCATACAAGATGTTTAAAATGGCAAATTTGGCATTGAGGGATTGACGTTATTTACCACAGTGAAGCTCTATTTCAGGGGTCGGCAACCCTAGGCACGTAACCAGTGGCACACTATAGGAATAAGTGGAATAAGGGTGCAAAATATTTAAATTGTATTTTCGGATCCTGAACGAGACCGCCGCCAGAGCGCGTCTCCCCGTTACCTGCAGAAGGAAGCCATGCACGCAACGCAGCCCCGCTCTCTTTAACTCCAGTCGACTTTCTGCTGCTTTCCTCCGTGGTGAAACGATCAGGGGTGTAGCGCTGCCGGAGCGCGCCGGCACTTCACAAATTGCAGTACCCATAAGGAGCTGTACAAATGCTGCAGTCTTTGCGTGGCTGTGTCTTTAGTTGAGAGCCCAGTGGCGATCTGCTCACCTCTCATCGAAAATAATACCCTACACAGGGGCGGACTGGCCATCTGTGTGTTCTGGAGAATCACAGAACGGACAGTCGTCATTATTATTATGCCGTTTAAACCAATTATTTAAATGTATTTAAACCATGGATGTATAATAAGGACTGGATACAACGTGGGAGGCGGGGCCTCGTTCATTCCTATGAGAGTTGCTCATTGGCGCATGAAGACAAAATGGCCCAACTTTTGAGAGGGCGAAACGTCATCATATAATCCGTTCTTATTGTGCATCCATGGGTAAAGGTAAAACTCATGTCGTACTGAACACGTCACATGAACGTGCCGGGCGGCGCGGTCCCGTGGGTTAGATGCACGTTCATAATGCCGAGGAAAATAACTCTCAGAATAACGTTATGTGCACATTTTACAACTTTAGGACCGAATGTTTTTAATAAGGGCTATACAAACGTTCATACTGGGTAGTTTATTTAGTTTAAAAAAAATTATCCAACGATTTACAGACGTCTCTTTCCCGATGTTAGTCAATGGGAAAAAGTGTTTCCGGGCCCAGCGACTGATACGGAAGTTGTAGTACCGCCGTTTGGCCACAACGAATATTTTCCTCAGAGTCCGGGGGCTTGATTTAAACGGCATCACGTAAGTTGCGCTGACAGGTGACAGAGGTCCACACACTGCTTCAACCAAAAAGGTTGCCGACCCCTGCTCTATTTGCTTTGCTTGGTATTCAAATCCAATAAAGTTCATTTTATATTCCTTTTATCACACACACACACACACACACACACACACACACACACACACACACACACACACACACACACACACACACACACACACCACACACACACACACAGAATAGCATCTTTTTAGTAAGCAGATGATGGTCTAATGTCTGTTGTGTGTTACAGGTGCCACTCCATGCGTGAGGAGAAGCAGAAGAAGGAGGACGAGGAAAAAGAAGCTCAGAGGAGAGCAGAAGAGGAGGAAAGAAGAAGGAGGGAAGAAGAGGAGGAGGAGGCGAGGAGAAGAGCAGAGGAGGAGGAGGAGGAAGAGAAGAGGAGGATGGAAGAGGAAGAAGAAGCAATTAGGAGGAGGAAGGCAGAAGAAGAGGAAGCGATGAGGAGAGCAGAGGAGGAGAAACAGAGAGAGGAAGAGGAGAAAAGACTGGAGGAGGAGCCTCAAACGAGGGAGGACCCCGACATAGAGCTGGTCACAGAGGAGGAGGAGGAGGAGACCAACGGTACCTTAGCTGAGGCTGGACCCCAGCAGGAGGAAGAGGAGGAGGAGGAGGAGTCAGGACTTACTCCTGCTCCTCCAGGAGAAGGAGAGGAGCCGGACCAACAGACTGCCTTCAAACCTGCGAGTCCCGAACAAAAGAGATCCAGAGCGCCGGCTTTAAACAGAGCCCAGACGTCCAAGAGCCAGGAGAAGAGAGAGCAGAGGAGGCGCAGAGGACTGGAGCACAACCAGAGAGAGACGGAGCGAGCCGCCTCCTCTTCCTCCTCCTCCTCCTCCTCCACCGGGATCAGCAGCAAGGATCAAAGCTCTCCTCCGAAGAGCAAGAGCAAGGAGCCGCCGAAGCTAAAGGAACGAGCGGACAGCAAGGAGCTGGACCAGTACACCTTCGTGGCCTGGAAGATGAAGGAGGAGGAGAAGGGAGGGAAGAAGGAGGCCAAAGCGTCGCCTCCTCCTCCTCTGGTCCGCCCCTCCTCTTTACCCCTGCAAATGGCCGCCGACTCCCCGCCCGACAGGAACGGTGTTGGAGACGCCGTCGGAGCGTCGAGTTTACAGCGACGTCCTGGAGGGTTCAAGGAGAAGCCGGAGAAGTGGAGGAGGAGCGAGGGGGAGAACTCTGAGGCAGCCAGTCCTCCTCCGAAAAGAGAGGAGAGGAAGAAGAAACAACTTCTGTACGTCTTCATCTCTAAGCATTCAATCAAATTTTGTATTATCATTTTAAAATATATCAAAATGATCATAGTGTATTTATTCCCAGGGGTTCTGGCCCAAACATGTTTCTTCAAGTCTGTAGTTAAATCTGTGCAGCTCCAAAATACTTTATTAAAAATGATATTTTAACACGTTAGCCTTTAAATGCCATTTTTAAAATGTCTTCCATTTTTGTAAAGCACTTTGAATTACCTTGTGTTGAAAGGTGCTATATAAATAAACTTGCCTTGCCTTGCCTTTAAACAGATATTGTGCTTTCTGTGATTTGAATATGGCATTAATCCATTATGACATTTATTTATTTTAATATTTATTTATTTCATATTTTACCTGTCTATTCTTCCAGGCGTGAAACAGTCTCCTCATCATTCGACAGTTTGTCTCCAGGAACCGAAGGAGCTGGTGCTTTTTCAGCCAGAGAGGTATTTTAAATGCTAATTGGCTGGAAAAATGACATTCTTAGTTTCTGGTCCAGTTATTGTGTTATCATCTAAAACTATATATTTTGTTGCAGTTGATTTCCCCCTCAGAAAGCCAGACTGACGGCTCGAAGGGAAGCTCCTTCAGACGGAAACACCAGGACAGTACAGACTCCACACACTCCTTCCCCTCAACACCAGACAAGTACTGAAATAACTTCACTGTTAAATGTGACAAACACTTTGGCATGTACATGTGTCTTAAAAAGGTAGTTGATGTGATGAGTTAAATACAGCACAATGAGCCAGAATCAAAAACTGAGACATTTCTTTTTACTTATTCAGTTTTTCTAATGTTTTCTTATTGGGTATATGGTATTACTTGACCTACAGTACTAGCACTCAAAAGCACGCACACACTTTTGATTTCTGACATGTTTGTGCTAGACAATTTGTTACTCAGGGTTCATTTAGATCACTAAAAAAGTCTTAAAAGTCTTAAAAGCATTCATCTAAAAATAGCGCTTAAATTAGTGTTAACATTTCTTAAATATGTTTTTCAAGAGTCTTAGAAATGCTTAAACATGGAAAGTGTGATTATGAATCCTTCTAAAAATGCCTTTTAAAGAACCGTAGCATCTTAAAATAACTGGTCACATCTATTCTGTTTGAGTTATTTGCTTCGCATTACGGTCATACAGATCAGGAAGGTGAAATAATGAAGTCAAGTTGGTATATAATTTAATCCGAGTGCCAGTTTTACAGTTAAAATAACAATGACTTTTCTAACCATGCAATAATTAAAACTCTAGTAAAGTGTAATGTATACATGTCAATATATAAATATGAAAAAGTAAAATACATTACAAACAGTGTGAATGGGTACAAACAATATGAACAGTTGTATAATACTATAGATGTATATAGAGACATAATAATGTAGACACTATAGACAGAATAAATATGAAACATTTCAGACCAGTATTGGCACTTTTATAAATAATATGAATAAATATGAGTACACGAGAGCATTGGTTCTCAACTGGTGGGTCTTGGACCCGTTTCGAGTGGGTCGCAGATGTGTGAGTGAAGAAAACGAAATTGAAAAAAAAGAATTTATTTTTACTTTTATTTTGAAGGCCCGATTTTCTAACTCTGTGCATGCAGTAGGCGTTGGACTGGAAGTACCGGAGACCATAAACAGTGTTGAAAACTTCTGTCACGTAGTGATCATTTTCTCAATAAAACATCTTTGCTGATGTTTTTTCGAGTCTTCTGGCCAATCAGAATCAAGATTGTTGCCGGAAGTCCCCACGGAGAATAACTTAGCGGTAGAACTATTCTTTATACATCCATGGGTACAACTTCAGATACAAATTAACACGTAATGAAATATGACCCCCGGTTTGATAATTGACAGGTCGCAGAACAATGGGGGCTATCTACCCTTACCCACAATTTAAAGGGGACCTATCATGCAAAATGCACTTTTGTCCACTTTTATACATGAATATGTGTCCCCGGTGTGTCAGGGAACTCACCAAGTGTCTGAAAACACAACCCTCTCTCTTTTCCTCCGTACTCAAATCTCTAAAAACGGGGCTGCAACGGATCTGATACATATTTGAATTTCTCTGACGTCAGAAAAGGGGTGCTCCGCCTATATGGGCAACTCTCCACCTATCAGGGGGATGAGAGGTTGGGCCACGGCCATTGCCCAACCTCTCATTCGCATATAGGCTGTCGGAAAGCTAAATCTCCCCTAGTCACATCTGTGTTTTTGCCTGCTCTTGCCAGGATGTCTAAGGGAGTTAAACGTTGTGCTGTTGTTGGCTGCAAGAATCGGGACAAGGGTCTGCATGCAATGCCATCCCTGGAAAAAGACAAGAATCTGTGGCTAGACTTCATTTTCAAGGGACATGTGCCAAAAGACTCCGGCAGATTTCTGCTTGTGTGTTCTAAACATTTTACCACGGACATGTTTATGAACTAGATTTTTTTTTGGCCAGACCAGTTGAGAACCACTGACCTAGAGGATATAACCAGTTTGCCAAATATTCCCGCTCTGCTCCGTTAGTTTCTTATTGCCTAAATAAAGCCAGTATGTCTACAGTATTAGTAGAGATGAACAGTAGAGAGAAATTCACAGGAAGTCTTCCTCACTTCAATCCATTACGTCAGCTCTTGTCAGATTGTTCCTGAGAAACTCTTAAACTTGTGTAATCGAACAATCCTCCGCTCCGTCTTTGGTGTTGCTCATCACAACCGGAAATTCCTCACAGCTGAATTTACTCCGAACCGATTCATACGACAGAAAGAAATGAACCCTTAAGAGTCAGTCATTTGGCATCTGGTCCAGCGCTTTGTTGTCCATTTGTTTTGTAGTTATGGTGAAACTGAGGGAGCAGAGATGAATATGTGGCACTTTGAAAACACACAGGATAAGGATCTTAAGTCTATATATAGTAGTACTTAAATTATATGTTTTCCTGTTGCTATTAAACGATAAAAGGGATTGCACAGTTTGTGGATTCTCTTGACAGATGTCTGTGTTTGTTTGCAGGTCCGGTGGTTTCTTCAGCAAGATTTTGAAGAAGCGCAAAGAGGCTCAGACTCCAGACAACGGAGAGCTGACTCTGGCTCAGATTCTCAATGAGAGGCCATCAGGAGGGGAAGGTAAATATTAAAAGCTGTTCAATTTGTCCACTTCGGTTTGAGAATAAATATAGGATTTACTGGACCTTATCTTCTTCCTTATGATTGGGTTTTTGGGTGCCATTTTCCCAAAGCTGGTAAAAAAGAGAGAAAAAGATCATCCATACCTAGAACCATGACTTTAACCCTTAGATGCATAAGTGGGTCTTTTTTGACCCGGTGAGGTGGTTTTCTTGAAGTATCTTTGTAATTACATTTTTTTATCATTTCATATTCCAGCTATTCCTCAAAAAACATGTTTTGGATATCATGCCATTCAAATTTTAAATTTAAATTTTAAACATTTTAAGAAATTGTAGTTTTTGTATTTCTACCCCAAGCTTCCATAAGTGGGTCAAAAATGACCCGCATGCATTTTCTATGGCATCCTCTGGGAACCTTTGATTCTTATCACCTGTTGCTGTCAGGAATACATTCACTGTAGACCACACAGACTACATCACAAGTGACACCTCTCAGGAAGATTATTTTACACAGCAAGATCTGATACCTGTCAGTATAATAATAATAATAATAATAATAATAATAATAATAATAATAATAATAATAATAATACATTATATTGGTATAGGGCTTTCCAAGGACTCAACATCGCTTTACAATATAAGGGAAGGTTAGGGTGGGGGGTATAGGACTATCAAACTTGATCAACCGGCATGGATTGATGGGGGGTGGGCTATGAGTAGACCAGAGGAGAAGAGATGGGTTTTGAAAAGGGACTGGAATACTGTGAGGGTCTCAGAATAGCGGAGATCTTTGCATCAATAAGTTCAAAACGTTTTTTTTCAAAATGTAAAAAAACTTTAAATTAAAAAAAATAAGTGATTTTTCTGAACCAAAATGACAAAAATGGCATAAAAACACATATTATTCTAATACGGGTCCTTTTTGACCCACTTATGGAAGAGTGTAGGGTCCAGTCACTTGTGCATCTAAGGGTTAAAGATAACTATAAATATATATTTTACATTGTCCACATAAAGTCTGTAATGACAACAGTGGTAAACGCTGGGATCACTTTCAGAGAGGCATCCCAGCGATAGCAGTCCACTTCCATCGCACCTCATAGAGTGAGATTTGTAAAGGAAACACAGGTGTGTTATCTCTAATTTTCTCAGGACTAAACTAACCCCGCTGTGTGTTTTCTGAGACAACACCGACCCGTGCAGATCACGCTCAGAGCAACAATAACTCCACTCTGGGTCTGTTTCCTCCACGGGACTAACGCACACTTTACATTCAGCATTAGAGTTCATCTTGTAAAAGGGGGAAGTGTTCTTAGTATTATGAACTCACCTTCTCCTCCATGCGATGATTTAAATAGCATACTTTAAAGACAACAGCATCTCAAGGTGCTTCACCAAAAAGGGGGAAACATTTGATATCAATTCATAGTCATACTTTTATTAATTATAATTATTTGGGCTGTTTTTTTATAACTATTATTATTTCTTTAAGTAGATTATTTGTTTTTTTACTTACTTTTTTAATCATTTTTTTCCTTTTGTATTTCATTGACAAAAAAAGAAATAATTTCAGATTTAGACGTAAACATTTATTTTTGTTGTTCTACTAACAACTACTAGTACTACCTACTGCATGTAAAGAAATGAGATTTGTGTGAAGAGCAAAGTGCATTCATGGACAAACCAAGTCCAACAATTAAAAAGTGTAAAAAAAAAAGGATATGATTTGAGTTATTAAAGTACAAAAGTTAAATATAGTTAAATTGCATGGACAAACTAAGTCCAACAAATACAAATTGTTAAAAAAAAGGGTAACATTTGAGTCATTATAGTACAAAAGTTAAATATAGTGAAATGAATAATAATTGTATTTATTATAGCACCTTTCACAGAAATAGAATTCTAAAAGTGAAATATAAAAGTGCTTCACAAGTAAGAACAAAAATTACAATTTAGACCACAGAAACATGAATACAATGACCACATGAGGCAGACATTTAAGGTCAACATAAAAACAAAACACAGACCACGTGGAGTCCTGTAAGGAACAAACATAATAACAGAACACATCACACACATTTCAAGTAGAGACAAAAGCCAGTATGAAAAGATTCTCCCTCCCTTTCAGCCCAATCATCCGGCCCTCCCTCCCGGCCCCTCTCCCAGCCTCATGGAGAGCGCTCTGTTAAAGGTTTGGGCAGAAACCCCACCATTAAGATCAGCCGCGCCACCAGAGTCTCCGAGCAGTGGAACGCCTCGCTGGACCGAGAGATCACCAACGCCAACGAGCTGCGGCACCTCGACGAGTTCCTGGGCAACCAGGTGGGTGAAAACCAACACCATTTAAGCTTATCAAAGGAAGACATCTCAAAGTCAACCTTATTGTCAATCTTTCAGTTTGTGTGTACAGACAGAGATAGAAATAATGTTTCTCACAATCCCGAATTCAAAAATGTAAATATGTATAAAATATGTATATCCTATATATACACAATCAACAGACACATTTATACATATGCACACATTAAAGGTGGGGTAGGTAAGTTTGAGAAACCGGCTCGAGATACACTTTTTGTTATATTCCATGGAATGCTCTTAACATCCCGATAGCAATGAATATCTTTGACAAAAAATACATAAAAAAATGTCACCTGTGGAAGCCGTAGTACTGTAAAAAGCACGACCAATCACTTTAGCCGGCCCGGCTAAAATAACTGGATGGCCTACCTGCCTGTCAGCCTTCCATCTGTGCACAGACTTATCTCGTGCCCTCATTGGTCATGTGCGCGTTCGTGTGTGTTGGAGGAGGGGCTCTGTAAGGAAGGGGCAGATTTTTTCCGGCTGTGTATTTTCAAATTCTAGCGATCTCGAGCTGGTTTCTCAAACTTACCTACCCTACCTTTAAGATAAAAACACAACAATCAATATATACAAAATAACAGTCACTTCAATAATAACTAATAATAATTGAATCTTATTAACCCATAAAACTATTTGTGTGTTTGTTCTCTCTTTTACAGGTGAATGATTTCCGCTCCAGGGGGAAGTCGCTGTCAGCCACAGAAGCCATCTTTGTTACAGCCACCATGCAGTTCAGAGAGACCATCAAAGCCATGTACTCTCTCCCTGTGAGTGTCTGCAGGAGCATCACACACACTCAAAGGGATTTATTATTTGGGTGTTTTGAAGGGCGTTGATTGAGTTACTGAGTTCCTACAGTTGGTTAGAACTCTCGAGGTTTAGAGAAACAGACAGTAGCAAGAAGCTAAGCCATGTACTGCTGTGGACGGTGGCAGGAGCAAATATGTTTTAGTCTCCTACAAATAATCAAAATCTGTTTTAGTGAACACATTTACAATACTTTTACCGCTTTGCCTTGCCATCAGTGAAGCTGTTATCTCTCTACAAAGCCACCAGACTCCTTTCACAAAATGTTTTATTCTACCATGCAGTTGCTGGTCTACGCTGCCTCAAACAGATCGTTTTTGTGTCTCATAGGGAGACTAACAGGGGGTTTTAAAAGGTTAATTCTGCATCATTTAAGTCACACAGTAACACAAAAAACTTCCCCAGCAAGCCAATGTTACACCAGCAACTTCCTATGTTCATCGAGGTTAAAATGACTCTTTTGCTCAATGGAGTCTGGTGGCTTAAAGGAGAGATAAAGGCTTTACCTCCCCTTTCATAAGAGCTGTCTGACGCCAAAGTAAAGGGGTGAAACCATTCAAAATATAACATAGATTTAAACTAATATGTCATTTTAGAAGGGGCCTTTTAGTACATTAATTGTTTAGTTTCTGTCCTGTCTCCTTCTCAAAACTGGTGGCTTTACAAACAACTTGTACCGTATGTAATGCACTGTGTATGTTACACCTCATACAACCAACATCCAAACTAGGGCTGCACGATATTGGTATTTTTTTGTCCGCAAACCATCCTTTCTTGAATTTTAATGCTATATAATTGGTATTTTTTTAACGATATTTAACCGGATGAAGGATTTTAGTCACGGACGTCTGGATCTTAAGTTATCAGAGCAAGAAGCTGAGCTAGCTCGGTTAGCAGCGCCGAACTGCCCTGGAGAAACACATGATCCCCGGGTCCGTTTGCTTTGGAGATTTGATTGTGATTGGTAGTTTGCTGTGCATGCAGAGCCTGTCAAGTACCCCTGACATGAGAGCCGAGCGAGTTTTCCTTTTGTAGTAAGCAGCAAAATAATTGTAACATGACGTGTTTGAGTTCATTTGCCTACTTAATATCGCACGTCCTAAAAAATGCATGCGCATATCGCGATTATCGTCACGACGCGATATATCGTGCAGCCCTAATCCAAACTATCCCTTAAACACATACTGGTCAAAGTTCTTCCTCCTCACCATCCTCTCCTCTTCCTCACTCTCTCTTCTGTGCCCTGATCTCCTCCAGAGACACACCATCGGCTACAAAGGCCTGATGTCGGGCTACCAGAACAAAGTGATCCACCTGGCGGGGGAGGGGCAGAAAGGAGAGGTCCAGCTGGTGGTGAACCTCTTCCAGTCGGTGCTGGACGGATTCATCCGAGGAGAGATGAAGAAGGAGGAGGCCGAGCCCACCAAGGTGCAAACACTGACTGTTATTATAAATTATGAGAGTATTAGTCATATTGTGAATAAAAATGCATTCATGCTTATCCTCTGTGTGTTTTCCAGCCTGCTAAAACGAGGAAGAAGCGGAGGAAAAAAGATAAAAGTGTAAGTATGCATTTATTTCAGTTTTCTCACTAGTTGAGTAATAATATTTGTAATTTATTATGGATCAATACACACATAGACACACACCAATGCATGTGACACACACATACACACACCTTTACCCCTTTTAATTTAGTGCCTTGTCTTTTGTTTTTGTTTTCTTTACTGCTTTTATCACATTTTTTTTTTATTCGATTCTATTTTTTAACTGCATCGAGACAAGCCTGCAAAATGTTGTCATCCCTGTGGGGGAAACTTCTGAAGCAATTGGAGTCAGGACTCAGAGAGACACGAGGAGAGCTGGAGCTTTGATGGCAAACAGGGTGTCCACGGGGTCTTAAAAAGTATTAAAAGTTGATAAATCAATTTAGCGAAAATTAAGGCTATTAAAAAGTATTGAACGGCATTTTCCAAGGTATTACATTTTGTAGCTTGTTTTCAATAAGTATATAAATTGTCCAAAGAGGTTGTATTCTACAGTCTGCTTGAATGTAATCATTGCGTAGGTGTGTAGTGTGATTCTGTGTAGTTTATTTATGGCATCCCGTTGGGTTTGACGTCATCTGAACAGGACATCGCACGCTCACTGCTTGATAGCGCGCGAAGGTCCGTTTACGCCGGTTGTTAAACAACATCGTTATGGGGAAATGCAAGTTTGCGTCCAAATGGTTGGAAGATAAGGAGGAAGGACAATCAATACTGTGTATAGTCAATGTGAGGTAAAGTGTGTCGCCAATGTAACCGGTTAAAACTCGAAGTGGCGATGAGGTCTTAAAATGTATGGAAAGGGTCTTAAAAAAGGTCTTACATCTGACTTCAGGATTCCTACATATACCCTGTATATGTCACGGGCCACGGTTTGACCACACGGTTGAGATGCCACAATCAAATTCTGAAGAACCCTCCTGTAGCTCCAGGTTTTAACTAGTTCAGAGTGTAATAATCAACATTCTTCAATAGATAGACTAAACAGCTGAGGGACACTGAATCACATTTGTTGTCGCTTATGGCTCGGGGTCATCTACACCCCGAGAAGGATGTGTTCCAGGTGTCCCACAACAATAACTATCTCTGACAGAGAGTTGCCCGGTCATAAACTGGTAACATCAACAAAATGCTAGGGCAGCCCCTCCTTATGGGAGATAACGGCTGCTCAAGGCTGGTCAACTGCGTCGGAGGGAGAAGGAGGACATGCAGGGAAAATTATTCCCCAACAGTACCCATGTTTAATGATCATAACAAATCTTCTGAGTCTAATTTTTTGTGGTTTGTGTTTTTAGATGGAGAGCCCGCTGGATCATGTGTTCGTCAACTATCAGGTCAACATCATGCAGTCATGTGACCAGTGTTCCTCTTACATCTGGGGCATGGAGAAGGCCTACATGTGCAGCTGTGAGTTAACACCCCAACCAAACTCATTTTATATATAATATTGTTTTCTCTATTAGTGTTCAAATATTTGTATGCAGTGCAATATCTCATATAATATACACTGATTCAGAACATACATGTATTTATCTTGTCTTACAGATTGTAAAATGGTGTGCCACAAGAAGTGCCTCTGCAAAATCATCATTGACTGCTCCACCTTCTCTGCCAAAAAGGTACGTTTTATACTGTAATTAAAATATATGGGGGGTTGAAGTGAGGCTGGGAATTATGCAGAAGACGGACTATGTTTAAGCAATAGCTCACTTCAGGCCGTGGTATACCAAGTCCTGAAGTGAGCTATTGCTTTTATAAAACGGTTACCAAGTGTGGCAATATGAAAGAAAAATACACACTCTAATTTAAATAGTTTTTATTAGTAAATAATGATGTTCAAAATAAAATAGTCCCTCCGTTGCCTTCTGCACAAAACATAGTGCGAGGTGGTTGCTATGCAACAACACTAACAGCTAGCGAACATATTAGACAGAGAGCGTCGATTATTTTGGCTATTTATTTACATTAATGTGTATGTTGCCGTTTATTGTGCACCCACTGAAAAACTGTCCAGCATCAGTAGCATGGCTTACGTGGTTACTTGTATAGGCTGAGGTTGTTCTAGGCTGTTGCTTGGCGTGGAGAGAATATTGCTCCACTTTCTCCGGTCCCCGAGATTCGGCTTCCAGTAGCTCTGGAGAGAGCTTTCGCACCTGTGGCCACTAACGGTCATCATTTCTCTGCTTTGTTTCAAGACCCGCATCAGAAAGCTTTTGAATGGTGATACTTTTCCAGTTGGTCTACCTGCTCTTCACGTAGCTCTACATGTCGTCGTTTAGGTGCTTTATGGAGATAGGCACTCCTCAATCCACTCCTCCATAGTGAGGCCCCCCCGGAGGTCGAAGTTAACCTTAAATGTTTCCATCTTAAGCTTTGTTAGTTAGTTAGTTTCGTAACGGACGTAATGTAACAGCTGTAACGGTTGTAGCTTTTCTCAGACGCGGAGGGATACTGACTTGTGAAAAGTAACTACAATTCTACCCGTGATATACGCTCATTATATCACGGGTAAGAACCAATCAGATTGCTTGATTTGACTTGTCCGTTTTATAACCTCATTTATTTAACAACGTATCTCTTGCACTAGACTCGACCATACGCTTTAAGTTGGAAGAGTTGTTGACTTTATTACTGTCTGTCTTCTTAGATTGATGTCTGGCTATAACAGTATTAAAAGTGACATTTAGGAAACCTTATTTTCACCATCAGTAGCAAAGCTAAATTGAAATGACAAAGGTTTTAAATTGCTTCCTCAGGATCAGATGGTAAGCTTTAATGAAGAGAATGTGATTTGGTGTGGAAGTAGTTTTTATTGAGTGAACTGTATAATAATAAGTCTCTCTGACGTCCTGTCTGTCTGTTTGTCTCTCTTCTCATCCTCTGTCTCTCTGTCTGTCTGTACCCACAGAGTGACGAGGAGTGTGCCGGTCTTCACTTCGGGGTGCGAGTGGGTCGCCTGGTGAGCGATAAGAACCCGGTGCCGATGGTTCTGGAGACGATGCTGGAGCACGTGGAGATGAACGGCCTCTACACCGAGGGCATCTACAGGAAGTCCGGCTCGGCAAACCGCATGAAGGAGCTGCACCAGAGACTGGAGACCGGTCAGAACACTATTCTTATCTCAAAGAAAACTCATGGCTCCTTTATTTGTATCAGAATCAGAATGCCTTTATTAGTCCCACAGCGGGCACATGTACATTGTTACAGCAGAAAAGAGCCAAAGACAGCTTAATGTTAACTAAGAAGCATGCATAAAAAGGTATTAAAGATACATATATATATATATTGCACATATAGCACGTATTTGTATTGATGTGTGATTGTTGATGTGTGCAGACCCCCACCTGGTGAATCTGGAGGATTACCCCATCCACACGGTGACAGGTTTGGTGAAGCAGTGGCTGAGGGAGCTGCCGGATCCTCTCCTGACCTTCGTTCATTACAACGACTTCCTGCACGCAGTGGGTGAGGACCACCTTCCCCACCAGGGGGCGCATTTTACACATTTTTTCCTGGGTTCAAGATTCAAGGCTTTTATTGTCATGTGTGCATAGCTACAGTGTAGTTATGACAATGAACATCTTAGGTCACAGGCTCCTCCAACAGTGCAACACAATAACACAGATAATAGTGCAAGTAAATAAAGTCTATTTCATCTGCAGCTGGGTTGTAGATATCTGAAGTTGTTTATGACAGTGTTTTTGTGAATGGTTACAGGGTGTCCGCGGGGTCTTAAAAAGTATTAAAAGTTGATCAATCAATTTAGCGAAAATGAAGGCTATTAAAAAGTATTAAACGGCATTTTCCAAGGTATTACATTTTGTAGCTTGTTTTCAATAAGTATATAAATTGTCCAAAGAGGTTGTATTCTACAGTCTGCCTGAATGTAATCATTGCGTAGGTGTGTAGTGTGATTCTGTGTAGTTTATTTATGGCATCCCGTTGGGTTTGACGTCATCTGAACAGGACATCGCACGCTCACTGCTTGATAGCGCGCGAAGGTCCGTTTACGCCGGTTGCTAAACAACATCGTTATGGGGAAATGCAAGTCTGCGTCCAAATGGTTGGAAGATAAGGAGGAAGGACAATCAATACTGTATATAGTCAATGTGAGGTAAAGTGTGTCGCCAAGGTAACCGGTTAAAACTCCAAGTGGCGATGAGGTCTTAAAATGTATGGAAAGGGTCTTAAAAAAGGTCTTAAAGGGTCTTACATTTGACTTCAGGATTCCTGCATATACCCTGGGTTAGTAGTTGGGGCTGAAGTCCAATTAGGAGAAAAAACTCTCACGCATATTTTCGAATCCCGCCATTTTTGCCCTTGAATCTGCTTCTGAATCTGAAAGCATTTGTTATTTGTGATTAAAACTGAAATTGGTTATTAATGCGTGATAATGGGGTTTGATTTATGAAATGTTTTCTCCTGTAGAACTGCCAGAGAAGGAGGAGCAGCTTCACGCTGTTTACAAACTCCTGGAGGAGCTTCCTTCAGCAAACTTCAACACGTTGGAGAGACTCGTCTTCCACCTCGTCCGGTAGGGAAACACTCATCGTGGTTTCTATATCTTATATTGATCATGACATTAATCCATCCAAGGACACTCAAAATGTACTAAACACAACATTTGATGGACTATATGTAAGGTAAGGTACGTTTATTTATATAGCACATTTTCAGACACAGAGGCAATTCAAAGTGCTTTACATCATCATTAACACTTAAAGGTAGGGTAGGTAAGAATGGAGCAGCTCGAGTGCGCTAGAATTTGAAAGTACGCAGCCGAAAAAAATCTGCCCCTTCCTTCAGACTTCCTCACAGAGCCCCTCCTCCAACACACACAAACGCGCACATGACCAATGAGGGCACGAGATAACACGAACGGGCACATGAGTTCCATTTGTAGGGAGCATAAAACCTAAAAGCAGCTTCGGCGTGTATGAAACTGTGTGTGAAACTGTGTATGAAACTGTGTATGAAACTGTGTGTGAGACTGTGTGTGAAACTGTGTATGAAACTGTGTGTGAGACTGTGTGTGAAACTGTGTATGAAACTGTGTATGAAACTGTGTATGAAACTGTGTGTGAGACTGTGTGTGAAACTGTGTATGAAACTGTGTATGAAACTGTGTATGAAACTGTGTATGAAACTGTGTGTGAGACTGTGTGTGAAACTGTGTATGAAACTGTGTATGAAACTGTGTGTGAGACTGTGTGTGTGTGAAACTGTGGTGTGAGACTGTGTGTGAGACTGTGTGTGAGACTGTGTGTGAGACTGTGTGTGAGACTGTGTGTGAGACTGTGTGTGAGACTGTGTGTGAGACTGTGTATGAGACTGTGTGTGAGACTGTGATGAACTTGTGTGTGGACTGGTATGAGGTTGAATCCTGGTGTGAGACTGTGTGTGAAACTGTGTGTGAACTGTGTGTGAGACTGTGGTGTGAAAACTGTGTGTGAGACTGTGTATGAGACTGTGTGTGAGACTGTGTGTGAGACTGTGTGTGAAACTGTGTGTGAGACTGTGTGTGAGACTGTGTGTGAAACTGTGTATGAAACTGTGTGTGAAACTGTGTATGAAACTGTGTATGAAACTGTGTATGAAACTGTGTGTGAGACTGTGTGTGAAACTGTGTATGAAACTGTGTATGAAACTGTGTGTGAGACTGTGTGTGAAACTGTGTGTGAGACTGTGTATGAGACTGTGTGTGAGACTGTGTGTGAGACTGTGTGTGAAACTGTGTGTGAGACTGTGTATGAGACTGTGTGTGAGACTGTGTATGAGACTGTGTGTGAAACTGTGTGAAACTGTGTGTGAGACTGTGTATGAGACTGTGTGTGAAACTGTGTGTGAGACTGTGTGTGAAACTGTGTGTGAAACTGTGTGTGAGACTGTGTGTGAGACTGTGTGTGAAACTGTGTGTGAGACTGTGTATGAGACTGTGTGTGAGACTGTGTGTGAAACTGTGTGTGAGACTGTGTGTGAGACTGTGTGTGAAACTGTGTATGAAACTGTGTATGAAACTGTGTGTGAGACTGTGTGTGAAACTGTGTATGAAACTGTGTGTGAAACTGTGTGTGAGACTGTGTGTGAAACTGTGTGTGAGACTGTGTATGAGACTGTGTGTGAGACTGTGTGTGAGACTGTGTGTGAAACTGTGTGTGAGACTGTGTATGAGACTGTGTGTGAGACTGTGTATGAGACTGTGTGTGAAACTGTGTGAAACTGTGTGTGAGACTGTGTATGAGACTGTGTGTGAAACTGTGTGTGAAACTGTGTGTGAGACTGTGTGTGAGACTGTGTGTGAGACTGTGTGTGAAACTGTGTGTGAGACTGTGTGTGAGACTGTGTGTGAGACTGTGTGTGAGACTGTGTGTGAGACTGTGTGTGAGACTGTGTGTGAGACTGTGTGTGAGACTGTGTGAGACTGTGTGTGAGACTGTGTGTGAGACTGTGTGTGAGACTGTGTGTGAGACTGTGTGTGAAACTGTGTGAAACTGTGTATGAAACTGTGTATGAGACTGTGTGTGAGACTGTGTGTGAAACTGTGTGAAACTGTGTATGAGACTGTGTGTATGAGACTGTGTATAGAATAGAATAGAATAGAATAGGGAGGGATGAAACCCTCTTTAATGGTCACACATGCAGAGCACACAGCACACACAGTGAAATTTGGCCTCTGCTTTTAACCCATCCTAGTACAAGGAGTCTAGTACTAGGAGCAGTGGGCAGCTATTGTACAGCGCCCGGGGAGCAATGGGAGTGGGGGGGAAGGGGGGTGTCCGGTGCCTTGCTCAAGGGCACCACGGCAGGGCAGGAGGTGAACTGGGACCTCTCCAAGTAGAAGTCCACACTCCATATTTAGGTCTGGTCGGGGACTTGAACCAGCGACCCTACGGCTCCCAGTCCAAGCCCCTACTGACTGAGCCACTGCCGGATATGAGACTGTGTGTGAGACTGTGTGTGAAACTGTGTGTGAGACTGTGTATGAGACTGTGTGTGAAACTGTGTGTGAAACTGTGTGTGAGACTGTGTGTGAGACTGTGTATGAAACTGTGTGTGAGACTGTGTATGAGACTGTGTGTGAGACTGTGTGTGAGACTGTGTGTGAAACTGTGTGTGAGACTGTGTAGGAAACTGTGTGTGAGACTGTGTGTGAAACTGTGTGTGAGACTGTGTAGGAAACTGTGTGTGAGACTGTGTGTGAAACTGCCCCCATGCTGATTTCTTGTCTTGTGTTTCAGGGTGTGTAAAGAGGAGGCTCACAACCGCATGTCTCCGAACTCTCTGGCTATAGTTTTTGCTCCGTGCGTCCTGCGCTGCCCGGATAGCGCCGACCCGCTGCTCAGCATGAAGGACGTCGCCAAGACAACCACGTAAGACAAAACTGCAAAATCTGCTCTTTGATCAAAAAAACTAAAAAAAGGAAATCTAAATGAATGAATCCGTGATCCTGTAGTAGTCCATTGTTTATTAGCAAACAGCACCATCTGCACACAAGGCTTCAAAACCAGGACGACACTTTCAAACTATTTTCTGTTTCCTGATAAATATAGTAAATGTGGGGGAAACTTCTGTAGCAATGGGAGAGTCAGGACTCAGAGAGACACGAGGAGAGCTGGAGCTTTGATGGCAAACACTGACGGTTTATTACGAGAATTCACAAGACATGTCACGGGCCACGAGTTGACCACACGGTTGAGATGCCACAATCAAATTCTGAAGACCCCTCCTGTAGCTCCAGGTTTTAACTAGTTCAGAGTGTAATCATCAACATTCTTCAATAGATAGACTAAACAGCTGAGGACTCTGAATCACAGTTGTTGTCGCTTATGGCTCGAGGTCATCTACACCCCGAGAAGGATGTGTTCCAGGTGTCCCACAACAATAACTATCTCTGACAGAGAGTTGCCCGGTCACAAACTAGTAACAACAACAAAATGCTAGGGCAGCCCCTCCTTAAAGGGGACCTATCATGCAAAATGCACTTTTGTACTGCTCATATATTTGACTTGTATAGCATTTGTTGCACTTTTAACCAAGCTTCATTAATAATAATATTAATTTTAAATACACATTTCAACTTAAAGGGGACCTATCATGCAAAATGCACTTTTGTACGTCTTTTATACATGAATATGTGTCCCCGGTGTTCCAGGGAACTCACCAAGTGTCAGAAAACACAACTCTCTCTATTTTCCTCCATACCCAAATCTCTAAAAAAGGGGCTGCAACGGATCTGATAAAAATGATAGGTCCACTTTAAGGGAGATAACGGCTGCTCAAGGTTGGTCAGCTGCGTCGGAGGGCGAAGGAGGACATGCAGGGCAAATGATTCCCCAACAGTAATATTTTATTTAAGGCGCCTTTCATGACACCCAAGGACACCGTACAATTTGTTAAATATTCTAAGAGGTAAAAGCAACAGAACATGATAAAAACACAAACATACCATCATGCAGAAGACAATTAAAGTGGACACAAATGATAGGGACGGGTTATTCAGGGGAAGCAGATGATGGGGAGCACAACAGTGAGCAGGCTGATCTGAACAGGTGGGTTTTGAGGAGGGACGTGAATGTGGTGATTGTGTCAGACTGTCGGGTGTGAAGGAGGGAGAGAGAGTTCTATAGTTTGGGAGCAGTGCAGCTAAAAGCCCGAGCCGCCATCGTGACTAGTAACTTTGAATGGCCTGATGTCTCCTTCCCTCCTCCTGCAGCTGTGTGGAGATGATCATCAACGAGCAGATCCGATGCTACAACGAGAAGATGGAGGAGATCGAGCAGCTGGAGTGCGCCGAGGCTCTGGCCGTGAATCAGCTCAAACTCAAGAGACAGAACACGGTGAGAAACTAAATCAAAGCAAACTTTATTTAAATCAGTGTTGTCTAAATACCACTGCATAACTACATGAAGTGTGAGCTCAGCCTCGTGTCTGGAGGGAAAGCACAGAGCTGCTAGCTGGAGTCTAGTGAAGCTCTTTAACTGAAGTACTTTACCCTGAGTGTTTTATACTTTTACTAAACTACATTTTGAAAGACGTTATTGTCATTTGTACAAATACAAATATTTGACGGATTCAGATTACTGGCTAATACAAGATATCCAGAAGTAGTATATAACATAATTAAAATTATCTCTACTTTTACTAGCTGTGTTTGTATGGTTCTAAAATGGGCTTTTACCCACAGTAAGTACTTTTTGTTCCTTAAGTATACTTTAATGCCCATACTTGTGCTTAGATTTTGAGTGCAGAACATTACTTAGAGTATTTTTACACTGTGGTAATTGTACTGATCCCACTACATGCAGGTGTTGCAGGTAACAACATTTGTTTGTATGAATGATCTGCTAGATGGCATTTTGCACCCACAAACATTGTTTACATTTTTCAAGAAGAGTACGATTTTGAAAGCAGGACTTTTGCTTTTAACAAAGTACTTTTAAAATGTAATATTCCTACTTTTACTTGAGGAAAACTTCTGAGTACTTCTTCTATGGGCTCAGAACAGTCTCATAATACACACATGCACACAGAAGGATTCACACTTGTATTTCCGGATCCACACTTGTGTTTTTCAATGCACACACAAATGTGTTCCGTTTCATATACATGTAAATAAAATCCAAATACAGAAAAAAGTTTTACATATGTATTTTTGATCCTCACATATTTGTTTTCCGTTTAAATCCCCTGAACCTGCAAACACAAACCGCTTTCTGTGCATGGATCGCTGTGCATTCGTGTGTGGGTTTTTTGAGACTCCCCTGACGGTCACCCGATTCGTACTTGTAATTTGTTCTATCTATAGCCAATCAGATGTCTCCTCAATTCTAAGCCAATCACATGAGCGCGTCCCCACGAGGGTAGATTTATTGCGTTCATGACACTTCATATACGCATTTTGCGCTGTCCGGAGCAGGGTGGACAGAATTTATTTTACCGGACAAATTTGAAACTTACCGGTCATGTTTCAATAATAATAAGAAGAAGAAGAAGAAGAAGAAGAAGAAGAAGAAGAATTGTGTAGCAGAGTTTCCGTTAGCAGGTAATTACCGGACTATGACCGGATGGCTAATAACATGGGAGTAACGGATCCTCTCTTTTCCTCTCTCCCTCCCTCTCTCCTGACAGCCCGTCAGTTTCTCATGCAGCTCGCTAAAACTTCACTCGCGTTTATGTCCATATCGATCAGATCCAGCTCTCCTGATCGGCCCTTTATAGAGAGCACCGATCAAACTATTAAGAGTGAATATCGGCCGATAATGACCGGCGGGGCTCCCCCCCGTTGACAGTTCACTGTCTAGCACTGGCTTCGTAGTGCACTGATCGATTAGGCTAAGCTAACCTGTAGCTGCTCCCTCCACACTCACAACAACTTCATACAGACATAAATAAAGCAGCTGTATTCGCCATACAGGATACACACATTTAAAACGGTTTTGCCTGCCGTTTTTGTGTACACAAGCATTCATTAATGGTTCGGAAAGTGGCACTGTACTGAGAGTGGAGGTGTCCTGAGATTAGCGCCTGCAGACAGGCTCCATGGACCTGTCAGCTCCGGACAGCGCAAAATGCGTACATGAAGCGCTACGTCATGAACGCAAGAAATCTACCCTCGTGGGGGCGCGCTCATGTGATTGGCTTAGAATTGAGGAGACATCTGATTGGCTATAGATAGAAAAAATTACAAGTACGAATCGGGTGACCGTCAGGGGAGTCTCAAAAAACCCACACACGAATGCACAGCGATCCATGCACAGAAAGCGGTTTGTGTTTGCAGGTGCAGAGGTTTTAAACGGAAAACAAATATGTGAGGATCAAAAATACATATGTAAAACTTTTTTCTGTATTTGGATTTTATTTACATGAATATGAAACGGAACACATTTGTGTGTGCATTGAAAAACACAAGTGTGGATCCGGAAATACAAGTGTGAATCCTTCTGTGTGCATGTGTGTATTATGAGACTGTTCTGAGCCCATATTCTTCCTCCATTGCTAAAGTAATCCCTTGGGTAACCCGGCGTGTTCCTTGTCTCTCTGTAGCACTACTGGCACTTACCGCTCAGGTGCTCAGCTCCTCACAAAGGAGTGGTGGTACGTATCATCGCTCTCAGTAGAAGTAGTTCCAGTAGAGCCGTGATGCCTGTGCATGGCATGGTAGATGTGGGTGATGCTCTGGCTGTTTATCATGTTATCCTCCCTCCCATAATCCTTTGTACTCTTCCTTACTAACTGGTAGTAGTTTGCATGTTGCTGTTGGATGCTCTGGGTTGGTGTTGTGATGATGTTTTTGTCTTATTTCAAAGACAAAAGCCTGACAACAGTGTGACCTGTCATCATGGATATGTATTTATTTGTCTTGTTTCAGTGCCTTCTTTATCTTATTGCACCGTCTTATCTAAATCTCTGAAAGTCATGTTGGATTCGTTGTTGTTGTTGGATGTTTCTGGAGTGGGTTGATTTAACCTTTATCATAGCTTAACTGTTTGCATGTAGTCTGTAAACGCCTCACACCAGTTCTGTTGTGAAAGGGTGTAAGGGCTCGGTGATAATACAGTATGATAATGATTAACATCGTAAATCCAGATATCGTTGCACACAATTACATGCACAGTTACATCGTCTAAATTGCTAGCACATACTAACTCAAATGCATATATAATGCAATTCTTTTAGGGAACACCATTTGAATATTGCTGTTTTGTTTTTAGATCACAGCTCATTGCAATTAACAAACTAGACTTAAAGGTGGGGTAGGTAATTTTGGAGAAACCAGCTCGAGTGCGCTAGAATTTGAAAATACACAACCGGAGAAAATCTGCCACTTCCTTACAGAGCCCCTCCTCCAACACACACGAACGCGCACATGACCAATGAGGGCACGAGATAAGTTTGTGCACAGATGGAAGGCTGACAGGCAGGTAGGCCATCCAGTTATTTTAGCCGGGCCGGCTCAGATGATTGGTCGTGCTTTTTACAGTACTACGGCTTCCACAGATGACATTTTTTTATGGATTTTTTGTCAAAGCACTTAAGATATTCATTGCTATCGGGATGTTAAGAGCATTCCATGGAATATAACAAAAAGTGTATCTCGAGCCGGTTTCTCAAACTTACCTACCCCACCTTTAATGTCATTTTAAAAAAAAATTATTTAGATGACTGTGTTTTTGTGCATGCATGTAAAACAAAACAGTAAATAGCAAAATATATATATATATATAATTTTTCCCTATAATTACTTTTGAAGCTGTTGCAATACAGTTCTAAATAAAATGAAAAAGTAATTAGATTTTTTGCAATTTACGCAGGAGTATTTAAAATATTCTTAACCATGTGATTTTTTTAATCTAAATTGTTTATATATTGATTACCAGAATACATGCTGAATTGTATATCATTGTTGAGATATGAATAGAAGGATAGACGTTTTTTTTTTGCCATATTTCCGAGCCCTAGAGTTATTGTTTTGAGCTCCTTCTGCATCCCAGGTTTTGTATCTAACCCCTCAAAGTAGTTTCTGCAGGAGTGATGTTCAGATGCATGAAGCCTCTCCCCTCTTCCTCACTAACAAAAGCTCTCAGATTTGGGTCATGTCTTCTGTGTAGTTATTATATATTAATATAATAATGACCTGATATTGTGAAGGAGAGTGTGTCGAGGTGTCAGTTGTTGATGCTCTGTGTCCTGCAGGTGCACGAGAAGGTGACCACTGACCTCAGCGTGGTTCCTGAGAACGAGCCGGTGGACTCGGACACGGAGGCCGAAAATAACCTGGTGGAGCGGATCAAGTCCATCAAGCAGGAGAAGTGAGGAGGATATATAGTAACATCTCTTTAGAGTGTCATAGAGAGGCGAAGTCCCGCCCATCTACTTCCGACCCATGGGACCTTATTTCGGAAAAAGTATGCATTGAAGTCAATGGACAGAGAAAGATTATATTTCGATCCCGTTTGAAATGTGCCACGAATTACACATATGATGTTTGTCAATCTTAAATAATAATTTCCATGTCAAAAAAGTCACAGTTTGTCGTAAAACTGTTGAAATATAAGACTATGAAAAATACGCAACTAGAAAGACTACAAATCCCAGAGTCCCGGTCCCGCATGCTGGCTCTTAGGAACCGACTCACTCCCCTTGTGTGTATGTACAGCTCTCAACATGACCAGACTTGGAGTGATTTTCACCTCTTTTAATACTTTCCGCCTCATTCTGAAAGAAAGAAGTGAAATGTGCCAACGTGACGGCCGTCTTGGTGTGTGGTGCGAGACGGGAGATGTAGTTCATTGAGCGGTTTCACACCTAAAAAGTGTTACTTCACAGTATTACGGCACATTTTTTTTTTACATGCAAAATGATCTTTTAAATTGACAAACATCATATGTGTAATTCGTGGCACAATTCAAACGGGATCGAAAGATAATCTTTCTCTCTCCATTGACTTCAATGCATAACTTTTTCCGAAATAAGGTCCCATGGAGGTCCCCCGGAAAGGGAGGGACTTCGCCTCTCTATGGGAATGCAGGATTATGGTCAATATATCACTTATTTCATCGAACTGATCACGGTTATTCAATTTTTGTGACTAAATACTTTAATTGCACTTTCACATTAAATAAACAGAGCAATATTTGTTCTTCCATGTTCTGCTTCAATCCTGCTAGTGTGGAAAACAGGGCTTACAATTGCACGTTATAGGTTATATGACTGCTGATGAACCATCCCTGCTCCTCCATGTTTCTGATCCCCCCCTCCTCTCTCCCCAGGGAGGATCTGGCCTGCCGGCTCCCTGAGATGGAGCAGCCCGGCTCAGATCAGGAGAACTTTGACTCGGAGGCGTCTCTGAGCTCCGAGAGTCTCCTGGAGGAGCCGCAGCGCTCTGAGCCTGAAGGTGAGTAACAACCCCCCTCTCTCTCTCTCTCTCTCTCTCTCTCTCTCTCTCACCTGTGGGTTTCTGACCAGACCAGCCCTGTGTTTTGTGGTGCAGGTCTGGACCAGTGATGGTGATGGGGGCGGTGACGTCTACTTTGTAACGAGCAGGTTGGAGGAACAGCCACAGTGTTTTGTGTGTGTCTTGTGCGTGTGTGCATAACCCTGTTATGCATGTGTTTGCATGTTTAACACAGAAGCATGCACAAACTTTGTAGAAATACAGAATGTCATGTTCAGTCCAGTGATGGGATAGGCTGCACCAAATGTCAAACTTATTAAACGGTATCTTCTGTATTTTTCAACCTGGACCTTATTTCTTAAGGTTTTTGTGACTAATGGGAACAACTAACTATTCTCTCACGTGATGTATGTCCACTAAAACATGTAATGTAATCTAGTAATATTAGTCTCAGCCTGTTACAAAAGAAACAGTCATTCTCACTCAATACTTTATAAAAAAAATTGTAATTGTTGTGGTCATTTGTCACAAAGCACAAATAGGGTCCATGTTGAAAAATCCCAAAGTTTCTCTCTCAGCTCAGATGTTTGCCTTATAGCGCTCCATTTACATGTTTGTACATTGCATGCTCTTCCATTCATCTTCACCCTCATCGTTGCATCTTAGGATCTATTCGAGAAAACACGTTTATCTCCCTCTCCCTCCTCCCTGTCTCTCTTCCAGGACGTGGCTCCCCCTCCCAGCAGAGGTCCCGTCCGATGTGTCTCCCCAAACCCTCGGAGCTGTCTTTGCGCCGTAAAGTCTCTGGAGGACGCCTCTCTCTGCGGCAGCTCTCCCCTCCAAACTCCACTTCTTCCTCCTCCTCCACTTCCTCCTCCTCCTCCTCCTACAGGAACCCACTGCAGCGCCGCACCCCCATCATCCCCCACGGCTCCGTTAGACTCCCCCATGGCGTCCTCCCGCAGGCCTCCAGTGTGTCTCAGCCCCCGTCTGCAGCTCAGGCGCTCCAGTTCCTGGTGCGCAGGCGGGAGCGTTCGGGTCGTCGTAAAGAAAGCACACAGTCGCTGTACTTCGATGGGTCCGAGGGGGGCGACCTGATGCTGCACTTCTCCTCCTGCCCCCCCTCCACCACCTCCTCCTCCATCTCCATCTCCACCGCAAAACCAACTCAAGACACACACGCTACAAAGAGCCAGAGACGATTTTCTGACCCCGACATTCCTTACATGGACGATGACGTGTGATTCTAGTCTGTTGGACAGCTCATAGAGTCCTGTTGTGAACCCGAAGTGTTGATTACCCCAAGGTCTTATGATATAAATGTCTAGTACAGGTCGCCAGAACATAGAAACAGCTGGAGGATAACTTGCATATGTTCGGCAATTTGCACAATTAGCATAAGTTTCCATAATTCGCATTAATTGGCATATGCAGACAATAGTTTAAAAGATGGCTTGGCTAATTTGGACAATTTCTGAGTGGATTTGGAGGTTATTGAGGATGCTGAATCAATTTTCTGACATTTTCAGGGTCAAAAATTGTTTTATTCAGAAAGTAGCCATATCTTGGGCTGATTTCGATGAGTTTTGGGCACATTTTAAAGTTTTAGGGGACTCAAAACTGCCATTTTGATCCTTATAATGTCAGAAATGTATTCAACAACCTCAAAATACCCCGAAAACCACACCAAAATTGTCCAAATCAGCGAAGCCATTTTTTAGCTATTATCTGCATATGCTAATGAATGCAATTTATACTAATTGTACAGATTGCCCAACATATGCAAGTTAGCATCTGGCAGTTTCTATGTGCTGGGGACCCGTACTATACGTTTTAACAAAGAACACTTGGGGTGCGCTACATTTTCGAGTTCACATTGCTGGCAAGTAGACTAATTTGGGAGAAAATGATGGATTTACGGGCAACAACCGCAGAAAGAATGACAATTATGGATGAAAATGATCCAGAATCACAACCCTTTTCCTGTGAACATGAGGAGAGTTGCAGTGGATCCACAGAGTGACACAAACTGCTTCAGCCTTACTGTCCTCCATGACGGTTATAAACGACTGGACCACATGTTGCCAAGCACCTTTTTCTACCGTTTTAATATATTGTCCATGAGGCTGTTTTCTGTAGCATCATAATGATGGACCAGCAATTCTATTTCCTTCCTCCTGTTGTTCTTTTTTAAACACATTTGTGCTAATTCAAGGAGATTCTGCAGGTTCCAGCAGCACTTTCATTTCTCCTCATGAGCAAAACTCTCTGAAATGTTAGCTAGTGCCTTGGTGTTGTACAGTACAAACTCATGTCATGTCGCAGAGGGAGGGAGGGAGGGTTTATTGGGGATTAAGACAGGGTACAATTTTGTGACGCAAGACATGTTTGAATTAAGGACTTTAAACGTGTCTTTCCACGCACCGCACAACAAACAGGAAGTCATCGCCTCACAAAGGGAAACGGGAGCAGCACACGCCACTTTTTCCTTTGAAATAAATACAACACAAACCCAGCCGTGCCACGACGTCTTCAGAGCCCCTCGAACTCACCTCGCCCACTTTTTTTTTTTTTTTTTCTACAATGAACTTCTCTCAGCTGCGACTCAAAGCGAACAGAGCTTTGTATGAAATGTAATACTAATGTTCCTCTCTGACTGCTGTTGAATGGTGTCTGTGTTAGTCTGTGTGGATAATAAGAGGATGTGTAATGTGTAACAGAGAGTGTGTGGTTGGGACTGAATGACTGTAATGGTTATTAGTATTAAAGTGACAATACAGAACGTGATGATGCTTGTTACATCTGCTGCTGTGTGTGTGTGTGTTATTCAGTCTGCTCCAAACAGGGTCATTTTATTTAAAGTGGACCTATCATGCTATATTATAATAATATAGTGTAGGACCATAACTATATAAGGCATATTTATACTTTTTTTTTTTCAAAATACCAAACAGATCATGCATTTTAGACATGCCTCAATTCGCTCAATTTGCACTTATTTAGCTCTGTTTTTGCAAGGGCAGATTCTGTGAGAACAGCACCACCTACAGGCCTGGCATATGTACTACAGCGTCTCCAGCGCTTTTGAACGGCAATGGCCGTGGCTGTCTCCTCCTGATTGGTGGAGTTGGCCCAATAGCCGTAGCGCTGACGTCAGGACAGTGTTCAAATCTGGATCAGTTTTTATCAGATCCGTTGCAGCCCCTTTTTTAGAGTTTTGGGTATGGAGGAAAATAGAGAGGGTTGTGTTTTCTGACACTTGGTGAGTTCCCTGGAACACCGGGGACACATATTCATGTATAAAAGACGTACAAAAGTGCATTTTGCATGATAGGTCCCCTTTAATTAAAACTAATATAAGCAGTGACAACTATACAAAAGCAATACCTTTTTGAAGGGGCATTTTAAATAGATTTGATAGTTTTAATTGCAGCAAAATGGTTCAGTGATTTTATACTTTTGGGAGTTTCCCCTTTCCTGTAGTGTTCTGTAGGTTTGTGTTCATGTAAATGGTCGGCAGAGGCTAAAATCCCTGTGTTCCCTCTGGAGTCTCCCTCCCACACGCTCAACTTACATTTTTTGCAATTTTAGTTAATTATGCAATTCTACAGTATGTTGATTCACAATTAATACAAGTTATTTTATCTTTTAAAAATAAACAACACCTTGATTAAACGTTATATAGTAGGGAATCTAATGCCATTTGAGAGGAGGTGTCCGGTGCCTTGCTCAAGGGCACCACGGCAGGGCAGGAGGTGAACTGGGACCTCTCCAAGTAGCAGTCCACACTCCATATTTAGGTCTGGTCGGGGACTTGAACCGGCGACCCTACGGTTTTAACAGAACAGTTAAAGTGGTTTAAGAATTTAAAACAACATTTTATATTCTGCATGGAAACAACCATTAAGCCAATTTGTACTGAACTTTGCAGGTAAGCGCTTACAGCTAAATATTTTTTATATTTGTTCACATGCCGGAGAGTAGTTGAACCGAAGTGAACCCACATGCACCTTTTCAGGAACAAGGGAAAATAAATATGGGTTTTAAATTGGAGGAGACACACGACGACTCGACCCTTCAGGATCAGCAGGTATGTGTTCATATAAGTATCATCAATATTTCCTTTAAAGTCAACTTAAATATATAATTCATTTCAAATCAAACTTCTGAATCAATGCATAACTATTTTACCACACACTCAAACATGTCAAAATCTAATAAAACAAGGCATGTAATACTCGTCCAGTGTAGTAATAAAATGCTGCATTGATTTCAAGTATTATTTATATAGAAAAGTTATTAAGGTCCATAAATAAAAGGTGTTTGCCATAATTATCCAATGTTGTAACACAATGCTGTCTTCATTTGGGAGTCATAAGGTCACACGTTACGAAAAACTGTGACTTCTGATATTAAAGAAACCTGGAAGTAACAATTCATGGATGTCGTTTTTTAAGCATGAGGTCCTTTTATAAATTATCTTAAACATTCAAACTTAAAAACTATACTCAGGGGCCAGAAGAGTACATTAGAAGATCTTTGATGTGATTTATATTGAATGTATGGCGGTTATAAAGTTGGACACTGATGCTTACTAGCTGTATATTCATATTATTTACTTTTTAATTATTAAAATCCCTCCAAAAAATAATTATATTATTTGTATCTATTTATTGTTGGTTTTTTTGCATTGTTATTATCGTTATATTATATTTTAATTCATATAATATATATATCAGAATTTGTTTCACTGTCTGGATAAAATGTGAATAATTCTGATTGGCCAGTGTACCGTGACGCTCTGCCTACGTCATTCCACCTCGACGCTGCTACTGCGGCTGTCAGCTTCAAACATGGCTTCTAGACTGGAGATCAATTTTATCAGATTGTTGTCCCGCTGTGAGTCTATAGCGTCGGAGAAACGAGGAGAAGCAGAATGGAGGTTAGAAAAGGTGAGAAGATTTAAAATAAAATATTGTCGTTCTGACCTGTTTTGATCTGACCTTATTAAGCTAGAGTTAGCATGACTGTTGTTGTTAGCCGTTAGCTGTTAGCTCAGGCTGTCTGTTAGCCACGTCGTCACTGAAACACCGACACTGTTTTCTGTCATGTTGGCATTTTTATCCTCTGAAATACCTCCAAATATTAAAATAAAAACATTAACAGCTGTATAGTTGACTTGCAGATTGTTTTGCTAACCTTTTTAAGTTAGCTTACTGTATTAAAGACAGCTAACAGACATTAACAGTCACCAACGGTCAACTGTTAGAATTGGTGCAATGGAGTCGTGACCATAGCTTTAACTTAAATATACTTATATACTTATATTCAGAGTTGGAAAAAGTACTCAGGTCTTGTACTTAGATACAAGTAGAAGTACCAGATTGTAGGAATACTCTTGTTACAAGTAATAGTCCTGGAACAAAAAGGTTACTGAAGTAAAAGTATTAGCATACAAATACTCATGCATGCAGATTGGTCAATTTCAGAATAATATATATGATATGTTTTATTATTATTGATGCATTAAAGTGTTCTCAAAGCTGGTAAAGGTGCAGCTAGTTTGAATGACTTTGTATACTGCAGGGTAGCTTGTGAATTTACTCCAGGTGTATACACGTGTCCGTCTTTATTAAAGTGAAAAGGCCAGTCACCAAACCATTTGTATTGTTATGTTCCAAAGGTTGTATTGGGATAATATAAGTAGATCATTTGACGATTAACTTCACCAGCCCCTAACCAACCAACTAGTCGAGATAAACGTTAATTAAGTTGTATATCACTGGGATATTCCACACAGCCTAATTTCTAGGTTTTATTATTAATCATTAATACATTAGTTGTAGTTGACAGCCACGATTAACATCTGGACAGGTTATTTAAATACTCCTACATTTCGCCGCTGCTCTCTCTTAGATTTCTTATGCAATAAAGATGCAACAAAAGGGGCAGAGCTTAATTAATGTCAAGTTTATGTCTGTATAACCATCCAAACTATTGTCAGCTGATGTATACAATCCTGTGTTTTCTGTCCTGTAGTATGTCGGTGCTCTGGAGGAGATGATTGTGGCTCTGAGGAAAAGCGTGAGGTAAGATCCCTATTATCGCTCTAGTGTCTTCATGTTTTCTATATTTCTATTGCCTACAAGTCGATAACAAGTTTTTTTTTCACAGCAAACCCACTGCAGAATTACTGACTGAATACACGAGAAAAGTAGACTTCCTGAAAGGACTTCTTGAGGCAGACAAACTGGTCCGTGTTTATATTTTACAAACTTATAATATCAAGATTATTGTGATTTCCCATTATTTGCTGGATGTGTTATTTGCACTTATGTTCAAAACAGAAGTCCACTCTGTTAGCCTTAATTGTTATTTGAACTGTATATCCTAAAAACTAACTAATACCATGAAACGTGAATTGATCCTTTGAGTTTTTCTCCTGTTTTATGATCTCATGTCTCTCCTGTTCTCGTTCCCAGTCTTCAACGACAGAGAAGGCTTTAGCCAATCAGTTCCTCGCCCCCGGACGAACCCCCACGATAGCCAATGAGAGGATGCCGGTCTCTAAAACGGTCCACATGCAGACGAAGGCGCGATGCACCGGAGAGATGAGGGACGAGCTGCTCGGCACGGTACGATCAGACAAACACCGTACATTACAAAAATAACACAACAATATGAATAGCAATTTAAAATGTGGATATTTTGCCAGTAGGTGATAGTTCAAAATTAAAATGTCTTTCAATGGAATCAAATCAAGATGAAATTACATGTGGAGATTTCATCATACATAATTTACATTGTCTTAACTGTTTAAACAAGTCTGATGTTATATTTTGTATATTTGTTAATATACTAAAGTTCCTAGTTGAATTCAAAATGGGGTTCACATTTTTTCACCATTTACTGGCAAAACGCTGGTTAAAAAATGTGTTAAAAAAAACAAAAAACTAGATGTTAAAATTCACTAATTTCCTTTTTTTTCTGTCGTTACAGGGGTTGTCAGGCAAAGGTAAGATATATTTTTCTAAGCGCCCCCCCCCTTGGTTACCGTTGCTAGGCCTGTCAAGTTTGTGGACTTATAAGCACATTTTATGTAATGATAGTTCTGAAATATGAGACAAAGAAGGAGTATAATAAGCATTTAAGAGCTCCATTCAATATATCATTTATTGGTGAAGTGTTATTCAAAAAATAATAATAATAACTCCTGATGGAAGTAAGGTAGTTCAATAAATAGTTTTTCATTTGGATCCAGTTCAAATTATTCCGTTCTTCCATTTTATGGTGTGCCATTTACTTGATCTCACATATCAAAGATCATTAATACAAATCTGTATTTCTTTCCTAACGTGCTAAACTATCTTACTTTATTAGCGTCTTACCTTGAAGAAAGTCGTTTGTTTTTTTTAAATCTTGGATGGGTTGAGCTGTGAGGAAGTATTTTCCACAGTGTTAAAAGGGAGACACTACAGAAGAACAAACCCCTACATTTGTATTCTACATATTTTCTCTTCACTGGTCTTAAGACATGTTATTGAAGAAACAAACACCCTAAACAATGTTTTTGTTTGTAGAGTCTCACCTCTCCTCTTGCGTTTTGGACTTTTGAAAAGCAAAGATAACTCTCCCCCTCTAAACTTTAAAGGTCCCATGTCATGGCCATTTCTACTGATCATAGTTCCATTGTTGAGGTCTACTAGAATAGATTTATATTGTGCAATTTTCCAAACTCACATTGGTTTCTCATACAGCATCTCTGTATAGTATGTGTATTCACTCTCTGTCCTAAACGGCTTGTTGGAGCTCCTGGCCCCCCCCCCCCCCCTCCCTGTGAGCCCAGTGGCCGTCTGCGAGACAGCGAGACACAGCGAAACCATCCCGAACACACACACACACACACACACACACGCAGCCTGGCTGGGAGTTTGTGTGTGTGCTCACACACCGACTCACAGCCTCGCCGCGTCCCGCCGTCTCAGGGAGAAGAAATCGGTGGCGCTGCAGCTGAAAAAAGATTGAGTGTGTGTGTGTGAGGAAGTCCGCGGGTTGGTCAATTTGGACCAATCCACGGACTTAACGTAACGGCTCCGCGGACGTGACGTAACGGCTCCACGGATTGGTCCATTTGGGTATGGGCACGTCACTGTACCCAGGAAGAAAACAATGGAAAAAGAGAAATCTCCAACGAGGCGTTCTGGGGCAGCATAGACATGTCTTTTCTGTGTTAGAGTTTTACTCGCTACAGGGTGTACTTTGAGGGTTTGTGACTCTGCAGACCGTTTACATGCATAAAAAGCTACATAACACACAAGGGGACGGGTAATAACCGGAAAAGCATGACATGGGACCTTTAAGGAAATATTCAGACAGACTTGCAGGTTCCTTACACAAACAGCTGAAAACTTGACAGGCCTCTCATGCTGATGATTATACTTATTATAATTATTAAGATTATTATATTTAATAAGCTAGCCTGCTGATTGACCTTTCTCTCCTCTCTACAGGCATGTCAGAAAATGAATTGCGAAACAGAAGGTAAGACCGCACGTATAATTTCTTCCTTTTTAAATACATTTTACTTTATTTATTTACTTTGAGCTTTAATCCCTTTCAGTAGTGTGTCTGTATTCAGTAAAACAAAGTGTTCCATGCTGTGTGTGCAGAGGAGTTCCTCTGGACGAGCGTCAGTCGGCGGCAGAGCTGGAGGCCGTGCTGCAGCACCACCACAACCTGCAGGAGAAACTGGCCGAGGACATGCTGAACCTGGCCAGGAACCTGAAGAACAACAGCCTGGCAGCGCAGAACATCATCAAGCAGGACAACCAGGTACCTACACACCTACACACCTACAGACATACATACCTACACACCTACACACCTACACACCTACAGACCTACACACCTACACACCTACACACCTACACACCTACACACCTACAGACCTACACACCTACACACCTACACACCTACACACCTACACCTACAGACCTACACACCTACACACCTACACACCTACACACCTACAGACCTACACACCTACACACCTACACACCTACACACCTACACACCTACACACCTACACACCTACAGACCTACAGACCTACAGACCTACAGACCTACAGACCTACACACCTACACACCTACACACCTACACACCTACACACCTACACACCTACACACCTACACACCTACAGACCTACACACCTACAGACCTACACACCTACACACCTACAGACTTACAGACCTACAGACCTACACACCTACAGACCTACACACCTACACACCTACAGACCTACAGACCTACACACCGTCAGACCTACACACCGTCAGACCTACACACCTACACACCTACAGACCTACACACCTACAGACCTACACCTACAGACCTACACACCTACAGACCTACACACCTACAGACCTACAGACCTACACACCGTCAGACCTACAGACCTACAGACCTACACACCTACACACCTACACACCTACACACCTACACACCTACACACCTACACACCTACAGACCTACACACCTACACACCTACACACCTACACACCTACACACCTACACACCTACACACCTACACACCTACACACCTACAGACCTACACACCTACACACCTACACACCTACAGACCTACACACCTACAGACCTACAGACCTACAGACCTACAGACCTACAGACCTACAGACCTACAGACCTACAGACCTACACACCTACACACCTACACACCTACACACCTACACACCTACACACCTACAGACCTACACACCTACACACCTGCACACCTACACACCTACACACCTACACACCTACACACCTACACACCTACACACCTACACACCTACAGACCTACACACCTACACACCTACACACCTACACACCTACACACCTACAGACCTACAGACCTACAGACCTACACACCTACACACCTACAGACCTACAGACCTACACACCTACACACCTACACACCTACACACCTACACACCTACACACCTACAGACCTACACACCTACAGACCTACAGACCTACACACCTACAGACCTACACACCTACAGACCTACACACCTACAGACCTACACACCTACAGACCTACACACCTACAGACCTACAGACCTACACACCGTCAGACCTACACACCGTCAGACCTACACACCTACACACCTACAGACCTACACACCTACAGACCTACACACCTACAGACCTACACACCTACACACCTACAGACCTACACACCTACACACCGTCAGACCTACACACCTACAGACCTACAGACCTACACACCTACAGACCTACAGACCTACACACCTACACACCTACAGACCATCAGACCTACAGACCATCAGACCATCAGACATACACACCTACACACCTACACACCTACACACCTACAGACCTACAGACCATCAGACATACACACCTACAGACCATCAGACCATCAGACATACACACCTACAGACCTACACAGCTACACACCTACAGACCGACACACCTACACACCTACAGACATACACACCTACACACCTACAGACCTACACACATACACACCTACAGACCTACAGACCGACACACCTACACACCTACAGACCTACAGACCTACACACCTACACACCTACAGACCTACACAGCTATACACCTACAGACCGACACACCTACAGACATACACACCTACAGACCTACACACATACACACCTACACACCTACACACCTACAGACATACACACCTATACACCTACAGACACCTACAGACCTATACACCGACACACTTACAGACAGCTACAGACCTACACACCTACAGACCGACACACCTACACACCTACAGACCTACACACATACACACCTATACACCTACAGACACCTACAGACCTACACACATACACACCTACAGACCGACACACCTACACACCTACAGACCTACACACATACACACCTATACACCTACAGACACCTACACACATACACACCTATACACCTACAGACACCTACAGACCTACAAACATACACACCTACACACCTACAGACATGCACACATACATACCTATACACCTACAGACACCTACAGACCTATACACCGACACACCTACCGACACACTTACAGACACCTACACACCTACAAACATACACACCTACACACCTACAGACATGCACACCTACACACCTACAGACCTACACACCTACAGACCATCACACATACACACCTACAGACCATCACACCTATACACCTACACACCTACAGACCTACAGACCTATACACCGACAGACCTACACACCTACAGACCATCAGACTGTAGTTAGACCATCTTTTAATGCTATTTTATTTATATTTCAGAAATATTTTGGACTGTTTATTTCTTGTGTCCATGTACATTGCCTTGTTTTTTATGCTGCTGCAATGCAAACATTTCCCAAATTGGGATCAAGTATCTATCTATCTATCTATCTACCTATCTATCAGAAATACTTTGATATAAGAGTAATACATATCATCAAATGCGTCTATGATGACTGGCTAACTGACTGTGGGTTAGTTAAAGGTACGAAATTTAAGAAATTGCACATTTAATTAAGGATGAAACATATAGGTTTTTATCACGAATATCAATACTAAATATAAATGTTTGTGGCATATTATACAATAGCTATATTTTGGCAGTTTATAGAGTGATGCAGGAATGAGTCCTAAAACCAAGAAAATGTTTCAGTTTTTAAGCACTTCCTGTTCCCTTGTCTGGAAGTCAAGGGTTTTCTGAATGTGTTTTTGGTTGTTAACCTGAAATAAGGTCTGTGGTTAACACAAGCTTAAGAGATTTTAACATTTTGTTCTATGACTTAAAATACGTCAGCAAATACCCCACTGATGAATTTAAAAACGGCGATTGCTAACAAGTGTCTAAATGAGACGCACAACATTAGCCACCTTTAGCTTGGTGATGTGAAGTCATGTGACCGTGCTGTAGTTCCTTTATAGCCCAACATTAGCCGCCTTTAGCTTAGTGGTGGTGACGTGAAGTCATGTGACCGTGCTGTAGTTCCTTTATAGCCCAATATTAGCCACCTTTAGCTTAGCGGTGGTGATGTGAAGTCATGTGACCTTGCTGTAGTTCCTTTATAGCCCAACATTAGCCGCCTTTAGCTTAGTGGTGGTGACCTGAAGTCATGTGACCGTGCTGTAGTTCCTTTATAGCCCAACATTAGCCACCTTTAGCTTAGCGGTGGTGATGTGAAGTCATGTGACCGTGCTGTAGTTCCTTTATAGCCCAACATTAGCCACCTTTAGCTTAGCAGTGGTGACGTGAAGTCATGTGACCGTGCTGTAGTTCCTTTATAGCCCAACATTAGCCACCTTTAGCTTAGCGGTGGTGACGTGAAGTCATGTGACCTTGCTGTAGTTCCTTTATAGCCCAGCATTAGCCGCCTTTAGCTTAGCGGTGGTGACGTGAAGTCATGTGACCGTGCTGTAGTTCCTTTATAGCCCAACATTAGCCTCCTTTAGCTTAGCGGTGGTGACGTGAAGTCATGTGACCGTGCTGTAGTTCCTTTATAGCACATATAACGTTAGATTTTCACTTCAGAAATCCTAAAGTAGTGTTAATATGTTGGGATTATCCTGCCTTCTAAGCATCATCAACATGTCCCTCCCCCTCAGACTCTGAGCCAGTCGATGCGTCAGGCCGATCTGAACTTCGAGAAGCTGAAGACGGAGTCGGAGCGTCTGGAGCAGCACACCAAGAAGTCTGTGAACTGGCTGCTGTGGCTGATGCTCATCCTCGTCTCCTTCTCCTTCATCAGCATGATCCTCTTCATCAGAATCTTCCCCCGGCTGCGATGATGACCATCAACAACCCCCCCCCCCCGAACTCTTAGTGCTTCCTCCTCCTGCGTAACGCAGCGGAGACGGACTGAAACATATGCACTTTTGAAAATAGAAGTATCTTCCTCGTGGAGGTTTAGAAACGTGGTTTCAGTTTCCTTTTTTTAAACGGAATACAAAATGGATGGTGAAGAAGAGCTTCCTGTCTTACCCAGAGAGCAGGGAGTAAGCCTTAATTATTTCATCATCGGGTAGACTAGCCGTGTTTACATGTGGTTCTCATGCAGTGCGACTAAATCATCTTTTGTAGAACTTTTTCCAAACATCTTGAAGAGTTCACAAACCGTCCTCCATCTACTGTCAGACACCGTTTAAACACTATATTAAATACATATCTAAAATCCTGACTTATAGACATCTGTGGAAATCTTAAAATAGTTTAGAAAAACACTTTAACTGCATTTATGAGCCCTTGTTTGATAATGATTTGTGGCTATAAGGACATCTTTAAGTGTTTCTCAACATTATATCCTCTCCTGTGAAGACATATTAATCAGCGGTATTATTAGCTGTTTATAGAGCAGGAGGCGTTATATTTGTTGAAAAATATATTAATATACTACTTATAAATGCTTTTGGGTTAAAGTGTTTCATTCCAAAACGACTAAACTGATGTCAGCATTGGTTCAATTTTATTCTAATAAGTTCAGTTTTCGAGACGTTCATTGTGAAGAAATGGAGTAAAGGAGAGAAGGAAAAATGCTTAATGTTTTATTTTGCATATAAAGACTAAAAGTCGCGATGTTGAGAATAAAATCCAAGTTTCTATATGCGCTAACACTTGTGGAATTATCATAATAGCTTGATTTATTTCTTGACGTATTTAGACAAGATTAAAAAAAGGTAGTAAAATGGAAACTTTATTTTCAAGAGTTCGTCTCTTTGAAATACTACAGAAACAATGATTTTATTCTTTACATTTCGACTGTATTCTCAAAAATAAAGTCAAACGTATCCCCCTTTTTCGCTCATTAGAGCTTTGTGGCGTCAGAGTTTTAAAATGTTCGGCCCCCCTCCTCATGAGTCCGATTCCCTGAGTCCTGTTCCTTGTGTTTGAGTCTGTGAGTGTCCGTGGTTGATTCGATAAATGTGCGTCAGGTGATGAATTGTCTTGTGTTGCTGAGGATGTTGAAGTGAATTTGTTCCCATTAAAATGACTGTAACCCCCTGTATCAACTACATCCAGACTGGCTGTTGTAAATGTATTTAAGATCACAAGAAAGTATGAAGATGCTAAAATATCGTTTTGGCATAAAAACTGTGTGTGAGTTGTAGGAGCTCTGTGTGACCTTCCCTCATAAACTAAAACACTACATTTCTCACTGTGTTTTTGAAAATCCCACATGCAGTGACACCTCTCTGCCACAGGGTGTCGCTCACTTCCTTCCTATAGGAACCATAACCGACCTCCATGACCCTGAAGGCATCACCAGCCATGAATCCTAAATTAACCTCACGACTCATTTAGAAGCGATCTGAGGACTGACGGAGGCTTAAAAACACATGACAACCTGTGCAGCCCATGTATTGATTCCATCCGATAGCTGCTATAATACAAAACAAAACGTCTGCCTGCTCTCCACAATGATCAATAACAGCGAACGGATGGTCAAAGTAAGGTACAAATAAATCACACGAAGCCTGGTTAGTGTTCCCTGACTTTATAAAGTGTGTTTTTTTTTTATAAGTGTGTGGTTGCGTTCTAGTCACTTTGCTCAGCACTACTGCTTGTTACAACTTTTATGTGCCGTACTCGCCTTTAACTGTTAGCTCAGGTTAATCTCGACTCGCCCCCTCCGACGGGTGATGGGTGCGTTTGTTCCAACTTCATTAAAGAGGTGGAGGAAGTATTCAGATGCTTTACTTTATTGAAAGTATTATTACTACACAATAAATATACTCTGTGCAAGTAAAAGTCCTGCATTGAAATTGTCATTCGTGTATAAGTAAGTATAACAAGCAAATTGTCAATTGATACTGATTAAAATAAATGTTTATTTTTCTCTCAATCTCAAGAACTGGAAACATAATAAGGCAAAAATCACAACTAATGCTATAAAATATAATGGAGTAAAAGGTCAAATAATTCCCCTTTGAATTCTAGTGGAGCAGAAGTGGCATGAAAAGAGATAATCAAGATAAGTACAAGTACCTCGATTTTCTTCAAAGTAGGCTACTCTACATAAGTAAATGTTACTTCCCACTGCTGCTTAATTCATCCTGAAAACACGAAGTTTTAAATACAAGCTGACTCGCCTGTCTTGACCTGGGACATTGCATTTTGGGGGATTTGGCTTGAGACTTATCAATGGACTTGATTTGACTTATGACTTGACTTGGCATTTGACTTGGGACTTGTCCGTCTAGATGTAGCTTTACTTTGGATCAGACTTTGAACTTGTCTTTGGATTTGAGTCCAGATTTTGACTTGGAACTTGTCTGATTTGACTTAGGACTTGACATGGGTCTTTTCATTCTAGATGTGGGTCTTTTCATTCTAGATTTTTGACTTTTCGGTGGATTTGACTTTGGATTTGAAAGGGGACCTGATTTGGGACTTTTCATTTTTTCGGGGGATTTGACTTGGGATTGTTCTTGGGGACTTGACATGGACTTTGACTCGGATCTTGTCTGATTTGACTCTGACGGTCTCTCCTGTCAGCAGCCGTGTTTGAGAGCTTCTCTGAGGTGAACATTCCTGCTGTGTTTTCATTTGAGGACTGAGCAGCGAGTCCAGACCTGCTTCTCTCTCTCTCTCTCTCTCTCTCTCTCTCTCTCTCTCTCTCTCTATCTCTCTCTCTCTCTCTCTCTCTCTCTCTCTCTCTCTCTCTCTCTCTCTCACCCCCCTCATGTCAGTCTCGCCATGTATTTTAGGCCCCTGTGGGTGTTAGTCCTGCTGGGAGTGGAGGTATGCAGCCACCAGGAGACCAAAGAGGCTCCTCCCCCCTCAGTTAAACCCAGCTGTTAGCGCTGCAGCTCCAGGACATGACTTCATCATCGGAGGCTTATCATCATCATCATCATGGCTGTGTTATCCCATTAGAGGACTTTCAGTTTCCTACTCAGACTACAGAGCCTAAACAAGGAAGTCTTCACCACAAAATGATCATGAGGATAGTCGTTATGAACCCCTATGTTACTTTGAATTATTACAGAAACGTACCTGTGTATCTCTATGATACATGAAGATTAAAACACGTAGAAAATACTTTGGTCTGTGGAGTCTGTGGTGTATTTAAAGAATAATTCACCTTAAAAAGGATCATTGTGTACCAATTACTCTAAACAGTTTAACCTGGCATTTCAAAAATAAGTATTTTATTTCTCGCAATCATAATTGAGTTGCTGAAGAATTCCTTTAAGTGTGAGTTCCTATATTCAGAAAATACCTCCAGATCTGTGGTGCTCCTGAATGGCCCTTCTGACCTCTGACCCCCTGAATGCTTCCTGCTCTGTTTTCCCACAGAGACACGCTGGAAATAGAGCTCAACACTCAGTGCTCCGTTAATAACATCAATCAATTCTCTGTATGACACTCTAACTCAAAGGGGAAGACTATTTGTGATTTGACTTTGGAATTATTGGCAATTGTGTTTGGATTTGACTTGAGATTTGTCTTGGTCTTGATTTAGGATTTGGGAATTGTCTTGAAATTGGGCTGGGATTTGTTTTTGGGGTTTGACTTGAGATTTCACTTTGCATTTGATATGACTTGGTATTGGTCTAGGGATTATAATTTGGGACTAGACTTGGAATTGGTCTGATTTGGCTTCAGACTTCACTTGGGTCTTGATAAAGGGATTTTCAACTTGTCTGATTCGACTTAAGACTGACTTGGATTTGTTCTGTCTTTACATGGCATTTGTCCGGGGACCGGTTTGAGTTTGATTTGATTTGGGATTTGACTTGTCTTATTTGTCTTATTTGGGACTGGACTTTGGACTGGTCTGAGATTTGGGAATTGTGTTAACTAGAAAATGTTCTACTTTGTACTGTATCAGGATCTTTCAACGATGCAGGCAGGTTTCAGCAGCTGTGAGAAATGACAGTGGCGCTTTTCCACTGCAGGGCCTCGCTCGGCTTAGTACGGTATGGCTAGGCCTCGTTAGGCCTTGTTAGGCCAGGCTCACTTTATGATGCTCCGCGCTGTAGTGGAAATGCGCAACATGGAGCAAACCTTGATATTGTTCCGCTTATCTTTGAACGTGTGTGTTTTTGAGTTTGATCTTTCTGAACAGACTAACAGACTGCAGCATGATCGCCCGTTAAACTCAATCTGTGCTCTCTCTTCATTTATTTTTTTGGCCGCAGCCACAGTCAGGATTTGTGTTTCCTACAGAGACGAAGAGATGTTCCTTTCATTCCAGATGTTTCCATGCACTTCCTTCAGGGAGCAAAAGGGTAAAGAGATTGTCCTTTTTTCTTTTTATTTGCATGCGCTGTAATGTTAACGACCGAATGGGAGGCTCTTATTAAGCGTATATAATGTGAGTCACTATCTCTCACACACACACACACACACACACACACACACACACACACACACACACGGAACGGACGGACACGACAAGACATTTAGAGACACACCCTGGATTTTGAGAAAGTGGGATGGATATTTTTCACAATTTTCAGATATTTAATAGACCAAACAACAAGTTGCAGCCCCTAAACCAAAGCTTATACGCTTTATTCAAGGGCCAGTTTTAAGTTTATAAGGCACTGCTGCATAATTTAGCGTATTTGAGGATTTTAGTGAGTTTCTGAGTCTTCTAATCTGGATCTTTAATCTCTCACAGGTGCTGTAGTCTCTCTGTTTCTCATGGAGCCGTTACTGTTTCCCTCAACTGCTTGTGTGTGTGTGTGTGTGTGTGTGTGTGTGTGTGTGTGTGTGTGTGTGTGTGTGTGTGTGTGTGTGTGTGTGTGTGTGTGTGTGTGTGTGTGTGTGTGTGTGTGTGTGTGTGTGTGTGTGCATTGTGTCTATGGTCTGTGGCTCTTCCACTGTTTTATGATGGCTCACCTCAAAGTTCTGAGCACACACACACACTCACACACACACACACACATACACACTTACAATTGTGTTATAGCTCTCTTGGTCACTTAGTACATTTACTAAAAACTGTAGTTGAGTACAAATTATACCAAACTCTACTTTAATCCAGTCAGGCCAGACGCAGACAAGCTTCTCTTCCCGTGTTCTAGCCTCAAAGCCTGCTGGCTTTAAATCAGACAGAACTGCTCATATATTTGACTTGTATAGCATTTGTTGCACTTTTAACCGAGCTTCATTAATAATAATATTAATTTTAAATACACATTTCAATTTAATTGAACTTTTCCCCAAAATATGCACTTAATAATGATAAAAGAAAATGATAATAATAATTGATCAAAAGAAAAAATATAAACAAATTATAAAATGTATATAAGTATTTTTTATTTATTGAAAGACACACAAAAATACAACACAATAGCAGAGACCCTGACTATTGCAATGGTTTTGGAAATATTTGTTCTGCACTAAAGTATTTATTTATACATTCCTTTTTATCTTATTACATCCCATATTTACAGACTATTGCTTCTATGTAAATGATATCGTGGCCTGGGACTTTTCTACTGGGATGTTATTGCCAGAACTACGCTGTACAGTATCTGGCATTATCAGCAATTTTGCATTTGACAAACACAGCCTTTATACGTTTGAACATCTATTCAGTTGATATCTCCGACACTTGAAAACTCTCACCAAAACAAAACAAAAGTATCTTAGATTTCGGTGAGAACTTCTCCTCTGTGTTTCAGTTAGATCTGAGGAAGGAGGTCGCAGGTGTGTCTGATGTGGAGCTGGTTTTTCTCACAGTCTGGGAACTGCTGCTGCTCAGACTGTGTGTGTGTGTGTGTGTGTGTGTGTGTGTGTGTGTGTGTGTGTGTGTGTGTGTGTGTGTGTGTGTGTGTGTGTGTGTGTGTGTGTGTGTGTGTGTGTGTGTGTTCCCCCTCCAGGGTAAAAATTGTCAAGAAAGGAAGGTGCCGACATCAGGACTGAAGCGTTGGAGGCCCCGGGGGGTTGAGGGGTTAGTGCAAGGTCGGGGTACATCCCAGGACGTTGGAAAACATGCGCAACTCTCCAGGGCCTAACCCTAACCTCCCCCCCCCCAAAAAAAACAGGTGCAACAAGGAGGCTCCTCAGGGTAGCAGATTAGGGTGTGTGTGTGTGTGTGTGTGTGTGTGTGTGTGTGTGTGTGTGTGTGTGTGTGTGTGTGTGTGTGTGTGTGTGTGTGTGTGTGTGTGTGTGTGTGTATATGTATATCCTTG